TGAAATTGATTATTATCATCAAGTATCATTATCCTTTGTTATTATTACGTATGATTATGATTTGTTGTTTCTCTGGCTCATTGACCAAATTTTTGGCCGGAGTTAGTAGCTCACGTGATCGATTATTATTAGAAAAAATTTTAAATTGAATCTTTAAAGTGCTAATTAATTATTCATAGTTCGAGGCCAAATACATAGTCATATATTTCACCTTGCCACTTGTGGAATTCCAATCCCACATCACATCCTTCGGATGTTCGAGGGATTATTAATTATACAATTAAGTGTACAGGGTCTTTGGCAACTTTAAAATTTGAAACAAAATGAAATTTTGATCGGAATTTGAAACACAACATCAGAATATATACACTGTATACATATATGTATCAGAAAAAAATTATAAAAATGAAGAACTCTTTCCTTTCCATTTTTGGTGAAATTTGGCCTAAATCCCTGTACTATATAGTACAGGGACTTTGACCCGATTTTTGAGCAACTTTAAAAATTCATTAAAAATCTAATTTTGATCGGAATCAATTCAAACTTAAAACAAAACATAAGTACATGTATATGTATCAGAAAAAGTTATAAAAATGGAAAATTCTCTCCTTTCCATTTTTGGCGAAAATTGTCCAAAGTCCCTGTACTATAGTACAGGGACTTTGACCCGATTTTTGAGCAACTTTAAAAATTCATAAAAAATCTAATTTTGATCAGAATCAATTCAAACTTGAAACACAACATAAGTACATGTATATGTATCAGAAAAAGTTATAAAAATGGAGAATTCTCTCTTTTCCATTTTTGGCGAAAATTGTCCAAAGTCCCTGTACTATAGTACAGGGACTTTGACCCGATTTTTGAGCAACTTTAAAAATTCATAAAAAATCTAATTTTGATCGGAATCAATTCAAACTTGAAACACAACATAAGAACATGTATATGTATCAGAAAAAGTTATAAAAATGGAGAATTCTCTCTTTTCCATTTTTGGCGAAAATTGTCCAAAGTCCCTGTACTATAGTACAGGGACTTTGACCCAATTTTTCAACAACTTTAAAAATTCATAAAAAATCTAATTTTGATCAGAATCAATTCAAACTTGAAACACAACATACTGTGTAAGTACATGTATATTTATCAGAAAAAGTTATAAAAATGGAGAAGTCTCTCTTTTCTATTTTTGGCGAAAATTGTCTAAAGTCCCTGTACTATAGTACAGGGACTTTGACCCAATTTTTGAGTATAACTTTAAAAATTCGTAAAAAATCCAATTTCGACCAAAATGAGTCATAAAAATCGAGAATCATTTTACCTTTCTTTCTTTGTTCTGCTGCAAGTTTTTCCAATTTTCTAGCAGTTGCCAAAGTTGCAGCTTTTACAGTTTCCATGACAACGTTTGTCCTCTGTGTGGCGTAGTTATTAGGCGAGACCGGTCTATCGGTGAGAGTGCTAGCAGCGACCAGTTCCCGCCTTAGGACGTCCTCTATCTCCTTCACAATGGACTCGTGATGCTAGAGAAAAGAAGAAGTGAATATCTGATGCATTAGCATGTTATGTGCTAATGCATCATATATTATTATAGGATGCAATGAAGCAGTAGAACTGAATATATTGGCTAAGTTATATTGTTGGCAATTCCTTAAAAATTGGCTTTTACATATACAAATTGGCAATTTAGTCATTGAGTATGCTCAAAACAAAATGACAAATTTATATTGATGAATACTCACTGCAGTTACTAATCCACTAATATTGCTTAATTCGCTGTTAATATTTACAGGTATACATGCTTAAGGTATGTATGTACCTCTCCTTCTGAAGGAGTAATACTTCCATCGTTGCTTGTGTCCGTTAGATCTTTAAGCATCTTGTTTTCTTCCTGGGAATTCCAAACAAAGACATCAAACAAAAATAAACACTTTTACACAGACAGACAGAAACTGTGTTGCATTGACAGAGAGACTTGGTTAAGAATAACACGCGACTTACTTGTGCATTTCTCAATAAAGTGTGAACTGTATCGTATTTTTCATGCCATTCCAACAACTGAGAGGGAGAAAATGAAACATAGAAATGGGACATACAAAATTAATGTTATATTTTAATTTAATTTTAATTTTGATACTCACTTCAATGCTGGCATGCTTCAGCTCGTTTTGACTTTCAGACAGTTTCAGATTAAGTTCTTCGTTCTCATCCATAAGCATAAACCTTGATTCCTTGAGTGAGTCATTGTCTAGTTTATATTCTCCTAATTTAACTTGAAGCTGGTGAGTCTTTTCTTCCTGAGCTTCAGCAGCTGCTTGAGACTCAAGCAACTGTTCTTTAGCTTCAGCTGATAACAGAGAGAGAGAGAGAGGAAAATATTAAAATGGATAATAAAATTACATTACTATCATAGAAAATTTAATTACATAATGGTAATGTGTGTGGGTATATTATGGATATTATTAACAAGATATTAACAAGATGTGGATCCAACTTTGGCAATAGTTGCACAAATATTAAAGCTGTCATTCATTAATACGCATGCTCAAAAATTGCTTAAATGAGACACCATTTTATTAAAAAACTACTGCCTAAAGCAGCTTCTTTCTCCCTCCATCTCTTACTCAATTGTCGGACGCATTGCTCAACGAAAACTTTATCAGCCTGAGCCTTCGACTCTGCCTCTTGCTCCAGTCGTACTTTCTCATCCCACAACTCCTGGTTATCTTTCTTTAATTGAGAGTTTTCTTCGCTAAGATTCGCTGCCCATTCCGGGACCTTCTCCTCCCCATTCTTCCCCCTTTGCTCCTCGTCTTGATCAGCCTGTACATAATAAAGACTCAGTAGTGACTCTTTTGTAGCGAGCTCGTGTCTCGCTTGCTTAAGATTCCGATCTAAAGTACTTGATTGATCTGTGAGGCGTGTTACTTCTTTTTCTAAAACCCCGACCCTCTTCGAGAGGGCTAGGCCTATCTTTGCCGATAACTGGAGGTCCTTCTCAGCCTGATAGAGCTGCTCTTGAAGGTAGACAGGATCTGTTTCGTGAGACCCACTAATAAAACTACGACAGACTAAGACATTTTAATATAATGAATAATAATAATAAACTATTTATTTTCTTACCAAGAGACGAAAGCGTATCAATCGCTGGGTTGAAGGGTTCGTGAGTTGGTGAAACCTCTGCTAAGGGTTCTGACAACATTGGGAGACCTTCACCAGTTCCTATCAGAGACTGCTCTACATTAAAAGTCCCACTACTACTGTTGGCAGTGACTCCTCCCCCATCAGTGACATTATTAGAGTCACTGCTAGTGCTAACAGGTGTAATGGCAGGAGCGGAGATTGAAGAGAGGGAGGGATAAGGTCCCGAGGAAGGGAGGAGTAAGTTGTTCCGCTCCACGAGAGAAGCCAATAGAGACTCGGTTGATTCTAGCGCTTTTCTCACTTTCACTTTGGAAGAAGATGCCGCCATGTTGTGGGAGACTGTACCAACTCATTTAATATTCATTCACGCATATCAATTAATTACTGGTGTCAATGAATAATAATGATTTTACCAAAATGAAAGATAATGATTAATGAAAAAAAGTATAATAAATGAGAGTCATTTTGAGCCATTGCTGGTAAATCTTGCAGGCTCACGGACCTGAGGTATTGGCAACTGTTTTCCACTTAACCCGCGACCTCTCCCACGTCCCATAGTAATGGGAGGTACCTCCTGTGAGGCTGCCACGCCCCTTGGAATGTTCATACGGGGAACAAAAACGTCTGATTTAACTATGCCAGCTGGAATGTTTGGTTGCTCTGGGAGATGAGCTGAAGTAATAGGAATGGAAAACTTGGGACAAAAGTGATCGGATAAGACAAAACTAGAAAAGAAAGAGGGAGAGAAAAGAGAAAGACATACTCCGTATAAAAAAACTTAAACTATAACGTACGTATAAATCTTCACAGTACTCATTGAACAGAATTTGTTTTCTTCTTTGTCATGTAATTTACACTTGATTCCGGTCTCATAGTCATAGGAAGAAGTGTTCAAGAGTCCTTCTGTGACATATATCAATGTCAGGGAACTCCGTCCACTTGAAGAAGCAAGAGCATCCCACTGCATTATAAGTAATTCTAGCTCATATACTTGATCAATGAAAAATTCAACACCTTATGGAGGAGAGAGGAGGAGGAGGAGGAAGGGAGAAAGAAAGAGTGTGTGTGTTGTTGCATTGTTTATGTAACGAACCAGCTTTTCTAGCTAGCCACTTTAGCATAAAGTCTACCCTTTCAGACACATCTCTCTACACAACAACAAAAATAACAAAAACTAATTACTCCCTTTTTATGATTCCTACTATTATCATCTATAACAACATTATCTTTATTTATACTTTAGCAAAAAGTAATGGCTCAATCGGGCCTTTTCTGTGCGTCTCAATAAAGTGTTGCATTTCAGCTAGTATAAGACGATAGTCTTTTCTTGATTGGCCAGGGAGGCCATCTACCGGTAGCATATGTGTCTGATCACTCTGGCTCTGAGCCACATACCTGTACCAGAATGAAAGTATCAAATAATAGGAATGAAAATATCTGGTAACCTGTATCCAATAGGTATTGGTCCAGGGTGTATAAAGCAGTGATAATTATGCTTTGAGCCTTCAGTAAGTGAGTAGGCACAGATGGCCAATTCACAAGGCAGCCATCTGTCAGACTCAAGTTCCTTCAAAGTGCACTGGGGCTGTATGTCAAACAGGAATATGGTTTGATCAGTGGCACCTGTGATTGAGAATGTGAAGCAACAAGTTAAGGAAGCAGTTGCATATTTCAAGTTAGTTTCAGTTGCGTATACATATTTACAAACTTGTTAATATTGATGTCCTTATAAAGTCAATTTGAACAAATAGTTTAATAATAATAATAATGATTGCATTACAAACCTCTCTTGGATGTAAACAAAGATTTTAAAATCTCCGCCTGCCTCCTTCTCTTTTCCTCCAGCTCTGCCGCCAAATCCCTGCGTTCCTAAAAACCTCAAACGTTAACGATGGTAAGAGCCACTAGACGAGGCATACCGATAGAAGCTCTCCTGTACAGTCCATCTTACCAGCTCTGGGTGGCCTTGATGGATCAATGACTGGTGTGGGGTTCCTCTTCTCATGTTTGGCACGAATGTGATATGGAGCTTTCTCGGCATCGGAGAGTTGCTATGAGTAAAAATATTCGTATCTTAGTGATAAACGTAAAACTGAAAAATTCGATAATAATTCGAGATCTACGTCCCTGGTTACCCAGTTCTAATGATTACAAACACCAGCCTATACTATATTACTATTATTATTACATAATAGATACACTGGATTACATAATCCCCAGCTGGTGTATTATTATCATAACTCACGCTCCATTTTGGCCCAGCAATAGCAGACATTTGTGGCATTGGCACGTTTCTCCCCTGCCTTCTTAGCTCTTCTTGCATGTCGAGCATGTAAAAGAAGAAAGCGTTTCTCTGTTTCTTTTTGCTGCTCATTCTCTCTACTTAAGACAAAACTGTCAAGTCAGCAACACAGAAATTAACAAAAATAGCCAAAATAAAATAGCTTGCCAAGCCAACCTAGCACAGTGACCTAGCAGACCTACTGAGTACAGACCACGTGGTATCACGTGACACAAAATGGCTGATGCCAACAAGCACACACTAAAGTTCTTGCAAGAGGCACAGAACATTGTTCCAGCTGGTTCTGCTCCGTTCCTTGAACTAGGGTAAGGAATTAGCACATTATGAATAAATTTTATTAGATTTATTGTAGAAAGAACCTGCAGAAATTTATTGGAAATGATGCAAGTTTGATGAGAAAAGGTGGGGTTTGAATTTTAAAGTGTAAATGATTAATTATTTTAGGATCTTTCCTTCAAAACTGTCCGTTCTGCTACTCACTCCTCCTTCCTTCCCTTGCAACGATTTCTACTGTTAGCAGAAAGAGATTAAAGAAAAGCAAACGACATTTCCCTGTGTTAAACATAATAGCTTCAACACAGCCAGCATCATCAGGACAATCATTTGTTAAAAAGCAGAAAATCAAACATTTCATAGTATGCAACTATTTGTAATCACAAATTAATGCTTTATAATGCTTGTTTTATTTCAGAAAATACATTGCAAGGTTTGCAAAAGGACTCATCTCATACCATTCTCTCAAAAGAAATCTCTTCCTTCATCAAAACCATGTCCCAGGACTCCTTCCTCTGTAAAATCTACACCAAATCGTCGACGCTCTCTTGATCTCAAAAGTCTCCTCAGACAGACTACCCCAAAGACCCCATCAACCCCTTCGTTATTAGACTTTCTATATACATGATTTATAGTGCAAACTCAATAAAAATTATTATATATAACATTTATAAGCTACTAAGCGATTTCACTAAATGTTATCTCTCTAGCTGAGAGTTTGTATAACCTCTGACCAACTGGGACTTGCAATCTGTTCATTTCCTGTGTAGAGATAGTAGATAGTATAGAATTCAATTAAAAATTAATTTGTTGTAAAATTACCTTTTGGACTTGAACTAATACCTTCTCGGTGATACACCCATAATAAATGTTACTGTAAAATTTTTAAGATTATATGAAAATCTTATAAAGAAAAAACTAACCGTTTTAATGGAATAAAACCTAAAAATTTAGAAGATAATATTAAAAGAGATTTGAATGAGAAAATGACTGACTTCTTTTGCTGATGTCATCAATAAATTTCTCAGCTGAGACATGGCTAAGGTAATATATCCTATCATCAAACGAAAGAGCTAAAAGGTTTCCGCGAGAGTCTTTCAAAAATAACGCAAAATCTCCAACTTTTAAACTAAAATAATCAGTAAGAGAGTGAAAAACATAGTAGCAGACTTATATAAACTTACTTTGTGACTGTAATAACATTTGGTAAACTCTTTAGAGAAAGAAAAAACAGTGATTTCTATTCAAATTAACTGAACTGCCTTACTTGACTATCATACATTGATTTTCTCATTCGCTTATAGTCTCTTTCAAGCTCTGATTCCCGCTGCTTATGCTCCTCTCTCTCAAGGAACAGTTGCTTCTGGAGCCCCTCAACAGCCGCTTTAAGAGCCACTACCTGTCCCTGGAAATCAGCTCCAATACTTGCAATCGGTGGATTCAAACTTAACTCAATATCTGAAGTTCTAGGGTCTGGAGTGATGCGAGTTACAATATCTGATTGAGTAGATTGGCTGTGCATAATGGTGGGGTCAGTTTGAGAACGCTTGTCAGTAAATATTGGTTTAAAAAGTAAATTAGTTTGTGTCTGAGCATCAAAAGGAATAATACAACCAGAGCCAGCCTGACTGTAACTATTTGTAGTTGAATTGGTTCTAGTCTGAGTATTTGCTGTTAATACCAATGGTGAAAACTGCATTTTAAATTCAGATGTTGCTGCACCAGCTTGAACAGATTTATCACATCCTTCACTAATAATTCTTAACTTTTGATCAGCTCTCCTTAAGCTTACTTCAGTCTCTACTCCAACATTCTTTGAGTTAAAACAATCATTTTTATATTCTGTCTGAGTACAAGCATTGCAATGTAACAATCTAAGCTCCTCACTGATTTCAGTGCTAGAATTATGAACCATCAATACAACTTGTGTGCTTGCATCTTGACCAACATTAATAGGCGTTTGAGACCCCATGTCTATTACCGGACTGAGACTGGTTCTGATGGTTTGGGTTTCAGTCTCTCTCAAGATATGGGTTCGAGTCTGTACAGATTGATCCCTCAGCAAGTTATGGATCCTCTTATTATCAATACATGTATCTTCACCTTCAGTCTGAGTACCAGTTGTAGAAGTCAAACAAAGATCTTCCCTATAGCAAGAGAAATGAAACAATATATTAATAATCACATTGTACTTGATAAATTCCTCATTAAGAGGTGCGAATGCACCAAGTAACCCATTTAAGTCTTCAGTAGGAAGAGAGCAAATATCTTCATCAAATTTTTTAGGTACAGAATTCTGATGAAAAAAGGAAATAATTCTATGATAAATATTAATGATAATTACAATGAGGCGAGGCAGTCTATCTGTAAATGATGGGAATAACGAAAAAACAAAATGTTGTCCACATTTGTCAAAGAATTGTTGTCTCCTAATCTTCTCTTTCTGTCTAAGTGCCTCAAATCTCTGGAATACCTTTTCTCCTTCCTATAAATTAATATCAATTAAGTCAACAGTTACATGTTCAACAATGCTTGAATGACTTACTTCAACAAAATATTTTTTAAACATTTTTCTTAGTTGGATCTCCTCCAATATGCAAGACAGCATATCAGGTGCAGCACATATCTGCTCAAGGACTTCAAACTTTCTTCTAAGAAGCTGAATTTGACCCGAATAAAGCTGAAGTTTTGAATCTATTTTTGTCATCTCTTGCTGTAGCTCTGCCAATGACTGGAGGCCAGATCTAATCCTCTCTCTCATAGCATTTCTTTCCTCATTTAGCTCGCAGACCGAGTTTTCGAGTTTTTGGTGATTTGAGTTCATAAGTTTGAGGAGTTGACAGTTGCTCAAACTGATGCTTGCCAGCGTGCCAGCATCTCCACTATTTAATCCTTTCTGTACAGTTGCATGAAGGCTCTAGTATAAAAAGAAAAAGTATCATTGTAATTACATTCGTGACTATTTTACTTGTGATGTTGATTTTTGCTCATTACTAATGTGACTCAAATCTTTCACTTGTAGTGAAATTCTCTCTTGTGTTTCTCTTTGATATAAATCATCAGCTAATCCTAAGGATAGCATGACAATAGATAAGCATGGACATGAACATTAACATAAACCCCGTTTACACTACAAACCAGTTTGGATCAAAGCAGTTTAGAAACCAGCTTAATTGTGTCCACAGTAACTGTGGTTGAATAGGTTTACAATGCTACATTGTATACATTGCTTAAACCAGTTTGATTATCTCAAACCACCTCCTGAGGTGGTTTAGATAAGTTGGTTTAAACCACATTGAAATTGTCCACATGTAAACTGATTTATTTCTAAACCGGTTCCAAACCGCTTTAAGGGCATAGTGTAAACAGGGCTTATAATGTTAATTGCACCTGTTAGTCTAGATGCTGTTTGCTTCAGCTCATCTAACATTTTCACATCAACCTGTATAATAACGATCAATTTAATTAATTGATTAATCAATTAACTAATTACCTGCTGCAGTGCTGTTTGACATTCTTTCAGTAGTTCCTCAAGGCTACTGTGTTCATCCTGCAAGTTAATCCAGTTGTACAGTGTATGTGTTTCTTCACCAAACACACTCCTATCCATAAATGAAGGAAGAGAGACTTTCTTTAATAATTCCAGTTGCTCTGGTGTCCTGAGGAGACAACACAAAAGTCAATATTACAAAATAAAGTTTAGTAAAATCTATGCTAACTTTTCTATTAGCATCTCAAATCCATTAAGAGACTCTTTAAAATTTAAAAGGACTACATCTAAATTTTTTTGGTGCTTACTAAATGTCCTGTGGTAAAAATACAAGCAAATAAATGTAAGCCACAGCATTGATGAATTTTTAAAATGTATTTTTATACTTTTGCATTGAAGAGAAATTCTGTAATAATGCTAGCCAGCCTGACCATAATAATCGTCTGCTTGCTTGTAGTTCTAATGAAGTAGTTATTAGCTTTGACCCTTCTCTAGAAAACTCTTGTGCCAGCTCCGTCTGCTGCCTTAACATTCCAAAAGATGGAGAGGCAGATATTCGAGATAGCTTCTGTTCCAAATGAACGTTTCTCTTAAATGTACTGTCATCTTTTAATTTTGGACTGATGCCGGGACGAAAATAGACAAAAAACGGTCTCTCCTCCTATTAATAATCCAACAAATTAATACACAAATAATACAAAATTAAACTAATGGTGAATACACAGTATATACACATTTTGATGATGAATTTCTAGTAAATTTTTTGGAAGAGGAAACTGGCCCGAGATTAGACGTGTTTTCATAAAATATTACTATGAAGTTTATCAATTATAAAAACACCTATAAATCCACAATCCAGCTTCTGAATAGACAGCTTCTCTTGAAATTATGTCTACATTTATGTATCAAGTCTTCATTCTCTTACTGTTCCTCCATCATAATGACCCAGAATCTCGTGAGCCTCTAATAACTGTCCTTTGCCAGTGAGTAATATAACATCTTTGCTTGTCACTTTTGACTGGTGGGCCAATGACGCCTGTAAGGCAGACACACTGGACAATAGAGAAAGAAATACGCAAAATACATGTGTGGTAAACAAAGGAGGAAGTATTGTCAAGTCTTACTTTTCTGTTGGAGGCAAGTCTTCTGAAAGTGATTGTCCTTGTGGGACGAGGAAAACTCGAAGCATTTTTGTAAGTAGAGAGAAAGAGAAATAATCTGAAGTAAAGTAATACGCCTCAGTTTGCCTGATGAAATCAGTAACAACTTGTCAGCATTTTTAAGGTGATTTTTATTTATAACTGGGCGTGGCTAATCAATCATGAGCTATGAGCTATAAAAATTAAATGAATTAATTGATCAAATCCATCTTCCCAATCTTGCAGAGTATAGACCTAATATTAATTAAAAATAGAGTAATGTTTTTACAAGTGGCTCAAAAATTTGCATTATTGACTATAGTACAAGGTGAAGGGTATTTCATCAAAAATGACAAGGAGAAAATTCTCCATTTTTATATTTTCTCTGATATGTATGCATGTACTAATGTTGTATTTCAATTTTGAGCTCATTCCAATCAAAATTGGATTTTTCACAAATTTTTAAATGTGTGCCTAAGACCAAGTACTATAGTACATGCAGCTATAGGAGAGCTCCCATCTTTACAGGAGATATATCTACATGTGCATGTTCTTATGCCCTAACTGACCTCATGTCTTCTATTATAATGTCATTTCCTCATCATCTGGGTCAAGTGAAGGCTCTGGGTTTTTGGTCCAAACTGTTATAGGAAGGTCCTATCAGCAAATAAAAATATAAAAAATACAACATTGTTAGACATACCTTTAGATTTGAAATATGAAACAGGTGCAATGATGTGTCATTGAAGACATCATCAGATGAACACAATGATGCATTAAATGGTAACTCCTTAAATAAACCTTTAATCTATAAAATCATTTATAATTATTATACGTAATAAATCTATACAGTATTACTTCTCTTAAGTAATATCCTTTAGATGTAAGCTCTGCATCAGTTAATCTACAAAAAGGCAATAATAATAATAATAATAATAATAATAATACCTCTTTTATTTTATTTTTTACTTTAAGTAATAGTCAGAGAAACTGTTGCCAATTATGCAACAATTTGACAGTTTCTCTGGGCTCCAGTTAGCATACAGTAAGTTGTTGTATAATGCTAGGCCACAGTGAGGCATGTAGAAGAGAGTCTGAGCATGAGCAATGTGTCTACAATGCTAAAAAATAAAATAGAAATAAAACCAAAAATAGCATTAAAAAGCCATATACCATATACACAAAGCAGCATTGAAATTGAAAATTGAGTGTACAATAAAAAAACAGGATTATTTAAATTATGGTGTTATTCTTTACTTCATTGAATCCTATGTTAATGAGTCCCAGCTTTTCTAATACTACCAGTTCATTCTCTTGTAGAATTGGATCATATATAAGAATGTCTTCAACCTATCAAGTATTAAAATAGTCTATCGCATGTGTTGCAATGTACTTTGTGTAGAAATGTTTCTATTAGTAATAAAATGGCTGCAACTTGATACTGAGCTGTAGTGCTTTCTTCGATGCTACCTGTTCCATAGCAGATAACATTCTTCACTTCAGAGAGTTCTTTAAAGTTTAGAGCTGAAAAAATAAAATAAATTTGCTTTTAAATTTTGCTTTGTATTACCTTTTATAAAGTTATTTGCTTTAAGTTCTTCCCTGCACAATCACTAACATGCATATCATTGTTACTTTTATTATATTGTACTTTCTTTGAAGGATTCTCTTGTACAGTATATCCCCTCTACCAGTCTCTGATATACTCTCAATGCATCCTTCTTTAGCATGGCCTCCTTTCTCTTTTCCTTTTTTCTTCTTCTTAGCACACAATCTATGTCCCTTAGTAACTGTAACAAAACCATCACTCATCATAAGCCTCGCCTACATTTAATTAGGCCTCTCGCCCACAAGGCATGGCGGCAATTAAGAATAGATCTAAGCAATTAATCCTCCAATTATGGCTACCTCGATGGCTACTACAAGAAATTTGCTTTCTTTTTGTTATTGTCACAGTTGGAGAGGGCTTGAAACAGGAATAAAGGCACTTCCTGGCGCTAAAATATACCTCCCGTCTGCCGAAGTGAAGAAATCCAGTAATTCTATAGCTGTGCTTACAGGATGGGCCATGAGTTCTCATAGAGCCCTAGGAAAATATTCACAAATATACACAGAATCAGGTATACCCTCTCTCTGCCTCACTCCTAGTCTATTGGAGCTATGGAGCTCAAGAAAAGGAGACACATTAACTCTAAAGATCATTGATTATTTAACAGGAAGCAAAGAACCAGAAGTTCCCGTTAATGTTGTATTCCACCTGTTTTCAGGCACACCAGGTATCATACTACCAGCTTTAACAAACCAGCTATCAGCAGGTGGTTCTAACGTTAATGTAAAAGGTATCATTATTGATAGTGGCCCAGTTGAATTTATATACACGAGTGGAAAGAGAGCCCTTCAACTTGCAAAATTGAATAAAATTGTTTATTATATAGCTGGCTTGGGTGGAACGACATTTGATTTGTTAGTCGGAAGAAAGAAAAGGGCAGAACTGGTAGAAGCTATGCACAGCCCAGCTCTCTCTTCTATCCCTCAGCTGTATCTTAATTCAGAATCTGACACAGTGTGCCCTCCAGAGAGAGTGAAACGTTTGGTTGAAGAACAGAGGAGAATGGGTAGAGATGTTCACCATTTTTCATGGAGTGACTCTCAGCATGTTAGGCTTTATCTTGACCACCCTGTTGAGTATGAATCACGAATCGAATCATTTTTAAAGACAATTAAACTTACCACTTGAACTCAATACTGTTTCATGTTGTACTATATAGCATAGTAATGAATCAGTTTCTTTTGATGTATGGAGATATAACTTTAATTATTTTAACTAAAATAATATTATCAAAAATAATTTAATGTCATTGCTTTAATACATGCTATTATAATAAAATAAAATAACAACAAAAATAACTTTATAGATATATATTATACACAAACACTTGGGCACACCTTTTTTTATAAATATTAATTGAGAGAGAGAGTCTGAAAAAATAACAGTTTAACTATAAATAATATTTAAATTTGCTAAAACGCAAAAACTAGGAAATAACAGTAGCCCCTCCATTTTCCTCTCCTCCACCTCCTTCCTCTCCGATACTTGGCAGTGTGACATTAGCATCAGACTCAAGTTGAGCCTCGTGGAATGACGAACGTGACGATATGCTACTCACAGAGACGGAGTTTTTAAACGAGTACCTCTGATGGTGAGGGAGTGCAACTTCGCTAGTGTAATATTGTTCTTTTTCTCTTTTCTCTTTTTCAAATTCGTCTTCAAGTTTCTGTCTCCTGTTTGAGAGGTCTCTCTTCCATTCTTTGAGATCAGCTGAGTGCTGCTCGTCTTTCTCTTGAATCTTCTTTGTCTCTTGTTGGGTCAAAGTCAGCTTCTTCTCGTTCTGTGCAAAGAGAAATTCAAATAATATGTACAAGTAGCTCTTAACAAACCAGCTCAAAGTAAGAAGTTAACTTTGAACTATTTTTATCATAAAATAGAAGCTTAAAACTCGATCATATTTATTTGGCTGCCTTAACACTGTTAGGCAAACTGTGGTTAGATAATTGGCAGAAGGTACACAATTGAAATTAGTACTATAACAAAACAAAAATAATAAGTTTTCCCTGACCTGTATTTCAACCATTTCTCTTATGTTGTTCTCCATTTCGGCTTTTTGTGTCTCAAGATCGCGAGTGTGTTTTTCTTTCATTAAAGATCTCTCACTCTCTTCCTTTATAATATATCTCTGCTCAAGCTAAGAAAGAACAATAGGACAGCTAAATTAATACGTTATGTCACAAATGTTTCTACTTTTTTGAGTTTCGCTTTGTCCTCAGCAGTTCTTCTGAGTCCCATGGTCTTCCTTAACTCGTTTAGTTGGACCTTAAACTCTGCATTGAGTTGCTTTGGCAGCTGCTTCTTTTCAAACAATTGGGTCTGTTTCAACTCGTCCAGTCGGAAATTATCCCGCCTCAACTGCTGATCATACTCCTACAAACAATTATCAATAATTTGTGTGGGCGTGAAAAATATTAATTACATGTAACGAGGGCATGAATATCATTATTTATTATACTTGTAGCTAACCTTTTGGTGTCTCATTTGCATTTGATGTCGCTGCATGTGAAAAGCTTCCCTGACCTGTTGTTTCTGGAGCTGATGCTGCTCTTGTTTGTGACGCATTTCCAGTTCCCACTGGTCATTCTCACGTCCTTATAAGGAAGGTAAAATGATATAGAGGGGCTGGATTTCGTTACTTCTTTTTATGTCTTGCGTCTCGAGTAAATATTTCAACTCAGCCTCTTTCATTCTTGATCGTTGGTCTCCAAGTAGCTGTCCCATTTCTCTGTCAAATTGTCCGTCCAGTTGAGACTGAAAGTGTACATCTTGCTCAACTTTACGAGCATCAAAACTTTCCTTCCACTAAAAATAATAAATATTGTTAATAATAATTATTATTATTATTAATAATAATATGCTAATAATAATAGTAGTATTGTTATACTGATAATATACTAATAATATTCAATAACTAGTATACCTCAGCTGTCCTTTTCTTAAGCTCTTTCTTTGGCGTTTCCTTCTCAATTTTCTTCTTTTCTTCTTTCTCGTCTTTCTTTTGATTTTCACGATAACGCTTCAACTCTTTAGACTATATAAAAAGCATAATATATTCAGCTAAGTCCATCTAGCACTAGATACTCTACCTGATCTGCCTTAAGCTGTTTCGTTCTTGCTTTATACTCCTGTATCTGCTGCTGCTCAAGTTTCTCTAACTCTTTCATCGATTTCTTCTGTAAACTGTCCAGCTCTGACTGATATCTTTGCTTTAGCTCCTTCAAAAAAAACACATATCTCTCTCATCTACCTCATTTCTCCAACCCTTCCCTTCCTGTTCTTTCTTTCTCTCCCCCCCCCCCTCTCTTTCTCTTCTTTTCTCTTCTCCTCCTACTTGTTGCTCTGCCTCGAGTTTCTTGTCTTGTGTTTCCCTCTCACTAGTTATTTTATTAAAGAATTCTGTTGCTTCCTTCATCTCTTGTCTCTGAAGGATTTTCATTTCTCTCAGATCTTGTTTCCTATTATTAATTATTGGTAGTAATCAACTAGTCAACCAAGCAACAGTAGACAATACACCAGTTGGTTCTTATGCATGCATGCAGGTGCTAACTATTACTGCATAACTGTCAAAATTGTCATTTAACACGTTTTGAAAATTATCAGGAACAAATAATTATATTTTAACTTTTAAGCCATGTACACATAGATACACATGCATGTACATGTACATGTACATACACTGTACATTACATATACACATGTACATACATACATACATGTACATGTACGTTCCTGTAGTACCTCATCTGTTGATATTTCCTGTTGTCCTGTAGTTTTTGAGTTGCCAGTGCAGTAGTTGACTCTGTCTCTTTTGATGAGTTCTGCACCTGGACGATGTGAGTCGTTTCTGTTGTAACCTCCTTCCCATCGACTTTAAATTTACGCTGTCTCCTCAAAGTGGAGTAATGCCAATCAGAAGGAGACTATAGAGAGAGTTTACTAATAAAAGGCCAAGAACAATAATATATTCACATACTTCTGTGGATAAATCATCTCTGTCAAGAGCAGCAATTAAATTAGAAGCAGAAGAATCAGCTTCTTTACTAGTTCCTCCTTCTTGCGTTTTATCTCCTCCCTTGATAGCAGGTTCTTCTTTCACTTCTACTTCTTCGTTCTTTCCCTCTCCTTCTCCTTTCGCCTCTTCACTAGGAGGAGGAGGAGTAGTAGAAGATGGTTCCACTTCCTCTTTGACAGGAGTTTGAGGAACTTCATCATCAATCATAGTCACCTCTGGAGACTCTAGATCAGTCTTAGCAGGAGAAAGTGGAGGAGTGCCTGGTTCTGTACCCTATACCATACACAGGAATAAACCACACCCACTTAATTAATAAACCCAATAACTCACAGAGTCAGATTCTTTAGCAGTAGCTGCAATATCTTCAGGCAGATCCTCAATGACCTCCTCAACAGGAGCCCGTACCTCACAGTAGAGCAACCTCAAGGGGAGATAGTCATTAACTGAACTGATGAACGAGTGAGAGAGAAGGTCTCTTGAAGAGGATCTCTGACTTGGAGCTTTAACAAGACATTTTGACAAGAAATCGTTGAAGTCTTTCGACCAGTGAGAGGGCACGGCGAGAATCGGAGGCTCGGAGCGAGTGATTCTTATGAGTACTCTCATTGGGTTGGTCTCGTGGTAAGGAGGGAACATGTCAGCCATTTCAATAAGAGTAATCCCGGCACTCCAGACATCAGCCTTCACTCCGTATGGCTCCTCTTTTATGGCTTCACAAGCAACAACTTCTGGAGCCATCCTTATAAAGAGAGGGAGAGAGGAAGAGGATGCTATTAAATAATACAAGTGTGTCATTTGGTTACCAATATGGCGTTCCGATGAAAGTATATCTCTTTTCTCTTTGCTTCAATATGGCCGACACTCCAAAATCACCTTTTAAGAGATAAACAAAACAAACAAATTAATAAATAAAAACACAATTAATAACACACACACACACACACAAATACACACACACACACACACACACACACACACACTTATACATGTACATGTATATGTATCTCTTAATGTATAACACACAATCACCTTTCCCTTACCTAATCTAATAGATCCATCAGGACAAAGAAGGATGTTCCCAGCTTTTAAATCGCGGTGAATGATACGTTGATCATGCAGAAATACCAAACCCTACATGTATACATGCAAAAATGGCGTATTATTATTATTAATATTATAATTTACTTCAAAGAGTTGCTTTGTGATGCACTGTATCTGCACTTCAGTGAGACCTTTCTCCAATTCTAATTAACAAAAAGAAAGGAGTACATGTACACGTACATGTATGTTCGTTAATGGCCATAGCAATAGGGTTTATTGCCCTTACCTAATATGATGTCATCAATGGCCCCTCCTGGGCAAAACTCAATAAAAATCTAATTAAAAAAAGATATAAATTATGCGCCTCCTTCTCTCCCACCCTTTCATGCTTCTCGCTTCTCAACCTCCCTCTTCCCTCCCCCCTCTCTCCCTCTTCCCTTCCCCTCTCTCCCTCCCTCTCTCTCTCTCCCCTCTCTCTCTCCCTCCCTCTCACCCATAATTGATTATCATAGAAGAAGGCTTGATGGAGTCCAACAATGTTATCATGTTTACATTCCGAGAGTATGTCAATTTCAACCATAAAGTCCTCCATCTCAGTTTCATCAGCAACTGGTACTGTCTTGAGTGCCGCCAACTGTCCAGTCTCCCTGTGTTCAGTCTGAGAGAGAGAGAGAGGGGAGGGGAGGGAGAGAATGAAGAGAGGAGAGAAGAAACAAAGTAAGTCGTAAGCAAACAAACAACCATTATTGCCAGAATTGCCACTATTTCACTCTCTCTTCCCTTTATTTCTCTCTTTCCTTTATTTCTCTCTTTCAAGGTGTTTTCTGTTTTCCTATCTTTACCAAATTATTACACAAGAGAGCAATCCCAACCACAAACAGATGTACCAATATCTCTCCTCACACCAAAACACGATACATGCATAAATACATGTACATGTCATTATGTATGACAAGTAAAATACACGGGCCAAAAGAATAATAATACTTTCTTCTCTTATTTTCACTTACTTTGTAAACTTTTCCAAAAGCGCCATCTCCCAATTCGCTCACTTTGACCCAGTTTTCCATCGGGTCCACGTCTTTGGTGACATTCTTGTACTCTTTAGCTTTGCTCTTTTCCTTGCTACGGAAAAGAGCCTTCAAAAAGGACATCTTGAGCCGGGTTGTACTGTTCCTCTTCTCTTGTTGTGTACGGTTATGTGCGTTTCTCTTTCCCCACACCCTATATATATGGGCGTGGCTGCTCCGAAAATGGGTGGAGCTCATAGTGGAAATTTAATTAGCTACTGGCGCCAATTCGCCCGCCAAGGTCGTTTCTAGTATTTCCCTACCACACAAAAATTAATATTAATTTCATGCAATGATGTTGAAAATTGAAATTTAGTCATTTCCAAGTGACATTGATCTTAGCCTAATGATAAAAAGATGAGGATTATTATAACTATGGTATCTATTACCGCTTCCTAGGGAGTGGAGGGCTATCAAGACAGACACCAACTGTGTCTTGATCTGGTACTTGTAATAATACTAAAAATTAAATATCGTGCACATGTGCCTTTTAAACATATAAATAAAGCTTTTTTGTTAATAATAATAATAATAATAATAATGTCTTTAAAGATAACTAACCGTTTGATCCTAGATCAGGAGTTTTAGCCTATAAAATTGGACCCATTTTAATACTACAATTTCAAAGTGACTAACAGCTGCAACGTTGTCAAGGTTAATGTTGTCACTGGATATGGCTATCTCTTCCTCAGATCCACCAACAACAGCAGCTAAAGGGGTCTACTTAGAGTTAGAGAATTATAATAATATGTGTTTATGTGTATAGCTACCCCAAACAATGGCGATAAAAATGGGTTATCTCCTCCTAGTAATGATATTACATTAGCGTCATTGTTATATTCGAGAGGAATACTTGCCAATTAATGAATCTTTTTTTGATGATTTTGACAAAGGTAACTGAAGACTAATAATAAATAAATAAATAATAATACATTACATGTACATGTATGTAATACTTTCTGATTAACTTCTCTCTCTCCATAACTGGATTGCACTATGAAAGATTATCATACGATAAAAGATTATTCATTTTCCGATCATTACCATGGCCCTTTTGAATTCTTCAACTTGTTCCTGAGCGTCTTCAACAATTCCGTCGTGCTCTGACAAAATGGCTTCCCAATAGCATTTCAACTCTCTCTTTCCATTTATGCCAAATTGCTCCAACGTTTTATCAAGTATTACCTAGACAAACAAAAATATTAATAATACTTAAATATAAGCTCTTTACATTTAATCCTCTTTGATCCGAAGACTTGTTTAAATTTGTTCTCAGTAAACACGAAAACCGTCTCAAATAATCTCCCAGAACATCACTTAAGCAATGCAGTGCTCTTGACATTACCCCTAATTAAACTATTTACTAACCAATGTATTAGTCATGTTATACCATCATAGCCTACATAAAGGGCAGCTGCAGCTACACCTCTTCTTTTTAATAAAGACAAAGACTCCTCATTCAGTCTAACCCACACTGGTAATGATATGTTACTAAAAACAACAACAATGATAATAATAGTAATAATAATAATGATAATAATAATAATAATAATAATAATAATAATAATAATAATAATAATATCACACTTCATTGGCTCTTGATTCTCAGCTTTGTTCCATCTTATTTTGGAGGGAACAGGCCAGTACCTGTTGGGAGGTACAGGTGGAATCAGTGACTCCTAATAATGAAGGATTAAACTGCTCAATGCAAAGTAGCTGTCACTATAATGGGTATTATTCTAATTTTTGGTATTAAAAATTGGTGCTACATGTACATGTACATGTATTTCAATTTTGGACAAAGCAAAAGCTATAGCCCATGGTTTTTTCTGAAAAATGGCTCCAAAATCACCCCAAATTTTTATTACATTTTCTGATACATATTGATGTCCTAATGCTGTGTAGCAAGTTTGAGGTGATTCCGACTTCAATTTTTCAAGTTACAGCCATTTTAAGAAAACGTCAAAATTCTGAAAAATACCCAAGGCTATAGCCCATGGTTTATTTTTAAAAATGGCTCCAAAATCACCCTAAATTTTTATGATACTTTCTGATACACATCGATGTCCTTATGCTATGTAAAAAGTTTGAGTTGATTCTGACAAATAAATTTCGAGTTATGAGCATTTTTGCAAAGGCTATATATAGTCCATAAATTTTTCAAAAAAAATGACTCAAAAATCACCAACAACTTTTAGTCCATAGATCCCTAGTATTATAATAATGGTCTTACTCTGTTCTCTATGGTTTGAGGTAGTCTTGAATTGAGGATCAACTGCTTCATCTCATCAATGTACTCCCTCAAATCAATTATATGCAATATGGCATTACCTTTCCCTACATTCTTTGGATAATCTATACTCTCTTGCAAGATACTTAGAAAATAAAAGAAACACACGCACAATAAAAATAATAGTACACAATAGTAATCATAAATTTTTAGTAACGCCAAACACTACACGAATATAATCACAATTCAACAAAAAATATTCATTATTTATTTATTTTTAAAACTCCTCCTACTTTGCTGTCTGGTCAGTATGAGATGCTACAGGTGGTATATGGGCTGTTACTGGTCCTGGCCGCCATTGGTCAGTCCACATTTGCTTCTTTCCTTCATCCCTATCGCTTCCTGACTCAATTTCACCCCACAATGATTCACAGTAGCTCATTTCTTTAATTTTATTTTTGATTTTATAAAGGCGGGGCTTTTTATTATAAACCACGCCCATACAATGGCTGCCCACGTGATGTCCATACGTCGAGGTGCTTGGTCCTTTTTACAGAGAATAAGAGCCAGTTCTTTCAATGTTAGAGCTTCTACTAGTTTAGTAGCGACTCCATCAGCTTCTATTCACAATTTACCATTAACGAGAAGATGCAGTACTTCTACTACTGTTACTGTAGCTACTACTATGGATGAGGCTGGGGATGAGGCATCTTGTAGTGGGTGTGGCTCCATTTTTCACTCATCTGTGCCACAAACTCAAGGCTATCTTCCACCAAACAAGATGGCGTCATTGTTGGAGTCAGATGCCCCGTCTGACAAACCTGTAATATGTCAGCGATGCTTTTACCTGAGGCACTACAACAATCCACTTCACGTCACCCTCCCCCCTGACGATTATTTAAAAAGTTTGTCTCATCTCAAAGACGAAAAGTGTCTGGTTTTAGTCATCATTGACGGAATCGATTTCCCTTCAAGTTTGTTCCCATCCCTTCGCACGTTACTCAATCCTCAATTCTCAAAAGTTTATCTTGTAATTAACAAGATTGATGTGTTGCCTCTGATGGATGAAAGCATGAAAATCAGATTTGAAAGTTATATTAAAACTGAAGCAGAAAAGAGTATTGATCCTGCGACAGTAATTGGCATACATTATGTCAGTGCTAAAACTGGACAAGGGGTAGGATTTTTGACAGATTCTATAACAACAGAATGGGGCAATCGCGGCAATGTCTACCTGCTTGGTTGCACTAATGTCGGAAAATCGTCACTTTTCAAACTTTTGTTGCAATCTTTGTGTGGCGTTCAACCTGGTCAGCTAAAGACAGTCAATGAGATATCTGCTCCATCTCCTACTATATCGCACTGGCCAGGTACAACCATTGGATTGATTAAGTTTCCAATGCTTTCTGTTGGTAAGAGGAAGAGACTGTCATTCCAGGCACATAAGAAAGGTATAACAGTCAAAGAGCTAATAGTGGATCAGTATGCAGCTGATGATGATGATGATGATGATCAATTTGCTGAAGTAGTTAGTAGCAAAAGAGTTTATAGATCGCATAACAATAATTCTGAAGTGGAAGAAGTTTTGAAGGACATAGGAATCAATAGGAAGAAGAAGAAGAAGGAGGAGGAGGATAAGAATGAAGAAAAAGGATTGACTTTGCCTGAGAATAGACATTGGCTGCATGACACACCTGGTGCTGTGAATGACATTCAAGTATGAATTATTACTGTAAAGCTAGAGATTTCTGTGGCCCAAAAAATTTCTGTGAATTGCTTTCAAAATGGGTCTCCTGGACTTTATTATTGCAAATTCACTATACCTTTTAATTTCAATTATTTTATTAATTTGTGTACCAAATTTTTGGAGATTAAATCTCTGTCAAATTCACAGAAATTTTTGGGAGCAGAAATTTCTAGCTATATCTTAATTGTTGTTGTTATTTTTGGTTGTATTTAGCATGTTATTGTTAGGCTACTAATCATTTGACAACAAATGAGTTAAGACTAATGTTACCAAAGAAGAGGCTGTCCCCACGTACCATTATATTGAAAGAAGGACAGTCGGTATTCCTTGGAGGATTAGCAAGATTAGACTACATTCAAGTAACGCATTTTGCAATGTATTATATTGTTCTTAATTGATTTAGTCCTATTGTTATTATGAATAGGGAAAGACATCTGCTTATTTCACAATCTTCACTTCATCCTACCTTCCTATTCATACTAGAAGAACAAGAGATGCCGATGAAATGTATAAAAGACATTTAGGACAACCACTACTAAAAGTATAATTTTAAATAAATAATAATTATCATAAATCCTTTTATTACATTTGTGCATGTAGGTGCCTGTGGGTGATGCTGAAAGAATTGATGCATTCCCACCATTGGAGCCAGAGGAGCTTATTATAACTGGGAGGGGTTTTAGCAGCAGTGTCTGTGATATAATATTGTCCAGTGTTGGTTGGGTATGTGTCACGGCTGGGTTGGAACACGAGATCAAGATATTGGCCTATACTCCTAATGGAAAGGGGATTTTCATGAGGTCTCCGTCACTGTTTCCTACAGCAGTGACTGAGAGGGGGAAGAGATCAAAGAAAGGGAACAAGACATACTTTAAAGGGAAGAAGAAATAAAATTTATTATTGATTTTTTTGTTGTAAGTAAAGTACCATATGTGACCTAATAGTCAGGATTGTATGGCTACCGTTTATGTTCTATTAATCTGAATTTATTTGTATAAAATTATATTGTAAAATTAAAAACATGGCGTCCAGTGGTTTGGAGAAAGCTGTTGAATTTTATAAAGAGCTAGAGGCTGCATGGTCAAAGAAAGACATCAAAGCGGTTGGTAAATTGTTACCAAAGCTCAAGATTCATCTCTTATCGCTCTCTTTCCTTCCCACGGGCGACAAAGAATCCGAAATGGACAGCAGACCACTTCTAATAGCCAGGAGCATGCTGGAGATTGGAGCTTTTTGGAGTTTAGAGTGTCGAGACGTCTTCTCCTTTGAGAGATACGTGGCACAACTCAAATCGTATTATTTTGATTATTCCGGAATCTTAAAAGAATCAGATTACATGTACTCCATATTAGGATTAAACCTCATGCATTTACTGGCTCGAAACAGGCTAGGCGAGTTTCACACAGAACTTGAAGTATTTCCGCCCGAGCAGCTCCGTAACGTATATCTCAAGAAACCAATCATGCTTGAGCAGTTCCTAATGGAAGGAAGCTACCACAAGATATATCTCTCCAAGGAAGATATACCTGATCCTTATTACTCTCTCTTTATTGTGAATCTTTTGAACACGATACGTGACGAAATAGCTAAATCAACGGAAAAAGCCTATTCTTCTATTTCTTTCTCCGAAGCATCTCGTCTCCTCATGATTGAAGACGAAGCCGATTTTATTAAATATGCTAACGAGCGTGGGTGGAGTCACGATTTGAATAAGAGGGAGTTTATTTTCAGTAATACAAGTGAGCAGGATAAAGGAGAAGTGGCTGATACCGACTTGCAGTCACCAAGAGTAATAATTCAGCAGTGTCTAGGATATGCACGAGAACTTGAGAAAATAGTTTAATGATAATAATTATGACTAGAACTGTTATTATTTAACTGTAAAGATAATGATTATTTACCCTTATTTTAATTATAAAAGCAACAACAACAACAATAATTTAAAGTTATTGGAAAAAATAATTATGTTGGTATTAAAATTTATATAAAGTTATAACTATTTAATTATGAGTTTTATGAACACGTTTTGACACCACGTGCAAACATGGTGGGTAGCTATTCACTTCTTTATCTCATTTCTATTCTCCATTTTAGGTTTTCTTCGTGTTATATGAACACGCCACTGGTTACTCCTTGTACAGGTGCTCTGATGTTGAAGATATTGGCTCGCTCCTACCCCAGATTCAAGAGGCTGTGAATGATTTTGCTCATTTCACTCAAATCGTTCAATTGGAGGCATTTTCCCCTTTCAAAAACGGAGCCAATGCCTTGGATAATATTAATTCTATTTCTGAAGGTTTTTATCACTATGAAATAATGTTGTTTTATTTATTCTAAAGGTGTTGTTCATGACGACTTGAAAGCATTTCTTTTGAATAATTTGCCACATGGGAAGAAGAAAGCAAAAGTCAGTTAAATGTCAGCCATTTAGTGTCAAAATAAGCACAAAATTGTACTATGCAAGATTTTTTATGCATATTGTTTGAGCTGATTTTCAATATACATGTTTACCAAAGACATGGACTTTTAGTACAGGATATTTTGTTGAAAATGGCTAGGAGCAAATTCTATATTTTTAATATTTTTTTCTGATACATATACATGTTCTTATCTTGTGTAGCAAGTTTGAGCTGATTCCGATCAGAATTAGATTTTAAACGCATTTTTTAAGCTGCTCAAAAATTAGGTCAAAGTCCCTGTACTATAGTACAGGGTCGTTGGCCAAATTTTTCTAAAAATGACTAGGTGAGAATTTTTTATTTTTATTACATTTTTTGATAGATATACATGTACTTATGTTGTGTTTCAAGTTTAAACTGATTCCGATCAAAACTGGATTTTTTACAAATTTTTAAAGCTGCTCAAAAATTGGGTCAAAGCCCCTGTATTATTGTACAGGATCATCGGCCAAATTTCGTCAAAAATGAAAAGGAAAAAATTTCCATTTCCGTTTTCAGAATTTTTTTGATACATATACATGCACGTTGTACTTATGTTGTGTTTCAACTTTGAGCTCATTCCAATCAAAATTGGATTTTTTTTTACAAATTTTAAAGTTGCTTAAAACCTGTTCACTTTATCTATCATATTAGGTGATTTTGGGCGTGTCCGATCAAAAACTGAGTGCGTCCATACAGGACGTTTTGGAAGTGCAGTGTCAGCATATGGGTGTGGTCACGGAAGTAATGAGAGGTATTCGATTATATTTTCATCGTCTTGTCAAAGGATTGACTGCCATTACTGCCAGTAAAGCGCAACTGGGTAAGAGAAAGAGAGAGGAGGAATAAGCACCTGTGTTTTAAAAGCCTTCCATTTTAAGCCTTTAAATTTAAAGCTACCAAAAAATTAACTCTTCCAAAATCACCCGTTATTTTATTTGTTTGTTTTTTAAAATTAAGGTTTGGGTCATAGTTATTCGCGTGCTAAAGTTAAATTCAACGCTCACAGATCAGATAACATGATAATTCAGAGCATCAGCTTGTTGGATCAGTTGGACAAAGACATTAACACTTTCTCAATGAGAGCAAGGTGCGAATCAATTGAACAATATTAGTAGTAACAAGAGTGCATAATAATACCAAGAGAAAATAGTACCTAAAGCATAAAAATAAAAATATAATTTATTATGTACAATGTACTTTTGATAGTAGTAATAGTCCAAGTATATTTTTATGTGCATGTACATGTATAATAATAAGAATTATTATTATTATTATTATTACTTTTATTTTTATTATTTTTTCAGGGAGTGGTACTCCTATCATTTCCCAGAGTTAATCAGAATTGTTCCTGATAATATCACGTATGCCAAAGTGGCTAATTTCATTGGTGATAGGAAAACCTTTGGCTCCAAAAAACTAGAAGAACTAACAGAACTACTGCAAGACACAAGCAAAGCTGAAGCCATCATGGAAGCAGCTCGTGTCTCAATGGGTAATTTATTGTAACTACAAGTAGTTGTATTAGCTCTCCCCCCCCCTCTCTCTTCCTTCTCTTGTAGGCATGGACATCAGTCCTATTGATCTAATAAATATTCAGCTATTTGCTTCTAGAGTGATCGCTTTGAGCCAATATCGCAAAGAGTTGAGCGACTACCTGGCAACTAAAATGACAAATGTGGCACCTAATCTGACAACACTTATAGGGGAACAGGTACCAGTAGTAAAGAAATAGTGAGAGACAGGGAGAGGAAGAGAGAGAGAGAGTGTGTGTGGGAGGATCAGGAGGAAGAGAGAGATCATCAGTCATGCCCTAAGGTATGGTCGCAGCTGCTAATGTGTAATCGATATGGTATCCACCTGGTTTAAAGTGAGACTATAAGAAACTGTCTCAATTGCTCCATTAGCGGTGTCGGCGGCGCTAAGCCATACCAATCAATGAGCCTGCGGTTGTTTTGAGTACTAATACTTAAAGTGATTAATAATCCTTTGCTTGTCATTTGAACCGGTTTGACTGGCCCTAGTGACTTGTGTCTTCTCTCATGATCTATTATAGTTTGTTATACAATACATTATTAGCTCATAGTAATTGCTTTACGTGTACATCTACATTATGTATTATATAATATATAATGTATTAAATATTCATTTGTGTATATACATGTATGTGTGTGTGTTTATGTATACTATTATGCTTTATATAGGTTGGTGCTAGACTTATATCACATGCAGGGAGCTTAACTAATCTTGCCAAATGCCCTGCCAGCACAGTTCAGATATTAGGGGCAGAGAAAGCACTGTTCAGGTTAGACCAGTAGCATACCGGGTACATGTTGTTGTACATATACATGTATGTGTCCATGCGGTTCTTCTTGATGTCTTATGTGGTTTTGTGTGGGGGGGAAGTGGAGGGGGAGTATGATTATGACATGCTAGGCACTTTGTTTGGAATTTTGTTGGAACTTTAATATCATGCCTAACCTCTGTAGACTGTCTCTGTCTCTAACTTAATATAATAGATACAGCACTGATGCACATGGACACTAAACAAGTGAAATCTACTTTATTTGATTTAAACAATACATCCTAGTTGTGATTCTTGACTGTTCAGCTCCCATTTAACCATAATTATTACACTCTAACTACGTGTTAAACTAAGGTATATCCACTGTTAGATTTAGAAGGAGACTTTTGGTCCCTCATATTTAGCCTAGGTCTACCAAAGCCTCCCATTTTTACTTAAATTGGTCTTATGCCAAAATTATGACAAGGTAAATGAATTTGTTGCTTGTCGAGTAGTCCAAAATACATTATGAAGACTCTTAATTGGAAATATGTGCGAGTGTGAGCTTGTGGTATGACTCTTTCAGTTTATAATTACATTTCTCGAATCCTTGTAAGTATCCTTCTTTGTTGGACTAGCTTATCGAAATGGGCCAGTAATTGATTCAAATTAGTTTAACGGAGTCACGAGAGGAGGTCTAGCTATGATTCAATTATCCTCCTGTCTTGTTTTCTGTGGTCAATGGTATTGACAGAATTTGCAAACAACCGATAAACAATATTTCTACATCTCTTGAGGATTTCGTACTTGTACTGGTGCAAATAATTTTTTGTGATCTCAGACACTTCAAATGTATACTACACGCATTGTAGGGGGGACCATTATACAGTTTTACATGCTTCAATGTATTGGAATGATGTTTTTGGGTGGCATGTGTGGGTTGTGTGGGCATGTGTGTATCGTTTTGTTATTAATTTTTCTAATTCTCGGCCTATTCTCATTATTGTCAGTAGGCTAATTCCAGTCATTTCTATTATTTTTTTGCCCGTCATTTCCTGTATAGGGCATTGAAGACTCGGAGTAATACGCCCAAATATGGACTCATATTCCACTCCTCTTTTATTGGTCGTGCCGGCACCAAAAACAAGGGTAGGATATCCCGTTTCCTGGCCAACAAATGCTCCATTGCCTCGAGGATAGATTGCTTTACAGGTAGTACCATAATTACACTGTATATTAGGATATTCTGACATTGCTAAATTCAATGGATTCTACATTTATAAGATTTGTGAATAAAATTTATGCAGGTAGCTTGCAAAAGAGGATACATAATTTTGTGATTTTATTTTTTGTGGTGAAGCAAAAAAAAAACAAAAAATAACAGCTTTAAAATCTCCTCATATATCCTACATGTAGTTATTATCTAGTTATTATTATTTATTATTATAAGTTTATTGTGGTTAGTCTGTGTGTATAATTTGAAAGTGGTTACCAAAGTGTTTGTAGTTCACTTATCAGTTGCTTAATGTTGGGATGAGTGCTTGTTGCGATAGTGTTTGGGAATATGTTAGTTCTAGTTGACGTCAGTTTGTGTGTGTCCGATGAATCATTATTTTTATCTTATCTCCTATGTGATGATTTCCCCCATCTCTGACTCTCTGTTTCTAATTCCCCCTTCATTTCCAGCCTTTATACAACATGGCATTATCTTCATTTGTGATAAGCTCTTTCAGTATTCATTCAAAGTCATTATCATACTATGAATGTTATTTCATACAGTAATTCTTGCTCAATAGGACATTGAAACACCTTATTCCATACCCCCTTTTTAATTACCCTTTTATCTTTATACTCCATCTCTCTCTCTCTCTCTCTCCCTCCTCTCTCATTTTTAGAATTTCCGACTACATTATTCGGCCAGAAGCTGAAAGACCAGGTTGAAGAGAGACTCATATTCTACGATTCAGGCTCAATCCCTCGCAAGAACACTGTTGTTATGAAGGAAGTGATCACCTTATTAAAGGAGCAGCGTCTCTTAGCATTGTAAGTATAAAGTACATGTACATGTACATATATGTCTTTTCCCCCTCTCTCTTTTACTTTCCCCTTGCTTCTTCATAAGGTTTTATCAAAATGTATTATGTACTTGTGAGAATCACCTGACTTCCTTTATTCATGTGATGTGCGTGTTATAAATGTGTACCCAATCATGTGTACATGTACAATTGTACATGTACATGTATGTACTATAATTGCTTTGTGTAGCTATGCCTGCATGTGAATACCCCTACTTGTGTGATAGCTGTGGTGCAATTCCTGCTAATGCCAAAGTCTCGGGTAATGATGCAATGGGATACTTATACACTTAATTTGATATGCATTAGTACACGCATGTATAATATAATGGTCTGTTTCTGCTTCTTGTTATTGCTGGTCAGTGATTTTACAGTGAATTAATATTGTTTATATAACTTGATCAGTTCCTGTTATTAAGGAGGAGACGTGACTGTCTGCGTGTGCATGGGGTAGGTGTCTTGGCAGGTGTTTTAACAGGAAAAGTGTTCATTTTTTAAGTATCACTCTCCATTAATTTGAGTCATAACACCTGGACATCGCTCGTACATATTTACATGTATGGCTACATTATTCGTAGTTATTCATATTTGGTTGTAACTAACAGAATATCTTGTACTCCTGCAACTAAGACATATGTTGTGACACATGTTAGATCTCTCTCCCTCTCTCTCTCCTCTTTCTCTCCTTGAAAGGAGTCTAGTTTGGTAGGGAAACCCTCACCACTAAACCACTTATTGACTAAATGATTTAAATCTAATTCTGTTAAATATATTTTGGTTATAGATTGTTTTAACACTTTTCCCATTGGGATGTTGTTTACATGTACATCTCTATGCATGTACATGTATGGTAGTATAGCTTTGTACATGTACATGTACATGAGCTGTATGTACATGTACATGGACTTTCAAAGGGAGAGGAATTCATATATTGTTAACATGTTTTTGCTGTTGATAGGCCCCAGGGTAGTAGTAGCACTGGGACTCCTGGGACTGAGAAAAAGAAGAAGAAAAAGAAAAGACAGCGAGAAGAGGAGGAGGAGGAGGTTGTCAAAGAGATTGCTGAAGTTGAAGAAGACGTGACAACAAGTATCAAGGAAAAGAAAAAAAAGAAAAAGAGAAAGAGAGAGGAGGAAGATGAAGAGGATCTTACTGCTGCTCCTCCCGTGGATGTTGAGTCAAAAAAGAAAAAGCGGAAGTCTCACTCCTAGGACTGTGGTGTACAATATTTCTTCTTAGTTTAGATAATATTTCATTTCTGAAAAATGATTAATGATTTGCAAAGTTCAAGAGGTGTGGCTGCTGGTACAGTGGTGATGGGTTGGGCTGTTGTAAGTACCAGTACTATTTATAAAGCCTTCAACCGCAGTATCGCCTACAATTATCATTTGGTGGATTTTTATCAAAAGTCGAAAAGAAGAGAGTCCTATACAATGAATGGGCTTACGCCTATACTATTATTAGCTGCTATTACAGGTAGCAAGTCTTTAGCATTTTACAAGCCCTTTTATTTTTTAATTTTTCTTTTATTAGTGGTTGCTGCAAGCAATTTTTCTTCGCCCGTTGGGTGCTTGCTGGAGCGTACGAGGAACACCACAGGCTGCAAAGAGGAGGACAAGGTCCGAATGTATCACTTCAGCCACAAGAAGAACCGCTGCAGAGGTTATATGACCTGTACCATAGAACATGATGTCACTGGGAATGTGTTTCTAAGCAGAGATGAATGCAACAGCCATTGTCCTGGTAAGTACTAGCTAATCAATGCATGATCTTTCCTATTTATTTCCTAGTGTGTAGACACTATATAAACTCCACAATAATAATAATAATAATATTTTTATTTCTCTTCCTCCTCCTTCCTTCTGCAGCAACCAACTGTACATTGCCAGTAGCTCCTGCCAACGGTTACCAGAATTGGGTCAACGTTAGCAACAGCAACGAAATAAAACTTCAAATATTTTGCAACGACGGTTTCATAATGAATGGATCCAGCGAGAGACTTTGCATGCACAACGGATCCTGGACTGGCTCCCAACCTCAATGTGAGACGACAATGATGATTGCAGTATCTTTAATATTTTATTTGCATTAATAGGCAAGTGCCAATTACCACCTGTACCAATCAATGGTGCCTACCAGGAGCTAACAACCAACAGCTTCCTTCTTCTTAAATATTCTTGCAACGAAGGCTACAACCTCATCGGACCATCGGAGAGATCCTGCGGTAGAGACGGAGTTTGGAGTGGAGAGGAACCAAAATGCATTAACCCTGAAAGTGAGTGAGAATAATAGTAATAATATTAATTTAATTCATCAGTGTATCCTGTCTGCATGAATTGCTTGCAGGCATCAATTGCAGCTACTAATCAAAGTGCCTGTTATGTTTTAGGCATAGGGTGGTGCAGGCATGAATGTCCTCCTACATGTCCTTATCGTAACTTGTTTACATGTAATAAAAACTGTCACTTTTGAGAGTATTGTAATGTCAGACTCACCCACCTATGCCTCCCTTCTGTCACTCTTTCTTAGATATCAGGTGTCCTGAACCTGAAGACATACCCAATGGACGGAAACTAGTCCTTGGTTACTCGGTCGGCAACTATGTTGCATACAGCTGCGCTACATCCTACGTCCATGTGCTGGGGAGTTTATGGAGGAGCTGTTTGAGCAGTGGTGAATGGTCAGGAGAGCCACCGCAGTGTGGAAGTGAGTCTAGAGCTCATGCGCTTCACATGCACCTGCTGGTATCAGTGTTTTGATCTTATTCACTTTCTTGTGTTACTACACCTGTAGTCCTATCCCCTCTGATAGTACAGAGCTGATAATTACTATGTTTAGATACTACAGCTCTTTATGCATGCACTTCTATGGAAGCATGTTACCCACTTTAGTAAATAATAATAGTTTGGCTTCGCAGAGTTATTTTAAATGACCTCTTTGTGTTGCAGGGCCTTTCATAACTTACGATGATAAGATTGTTGAAAATGGAAAAGTTGAGACAAGAAAAGGAGAGAAAAATGTTCAGATAAAATGCAAAATGGATCCATACTTTCCAACGGGTGCTGTCGTCGAATGGGACCGTCCAGAAAATGCAAAATCCAGCAATTCAAGTTGGGTAGAGAACAAGACTGCATTTGCACTTCAGTTCAATGTTGTGGCTGTGTCAGATGCTGGAGACTATACCTGCTCAATCAAGATTAATAGTTTCTTGAACAGGAATATTAGAAGAAGGATAGCTGTCCGTGGTGAGTTCAGCTAATTAGTGGTCATGGTGATCTCAACGCTAATCCTACATTATTGTATAAACTGTCATTATGATTATCTGCTCTTTGTTTATAGTATTATCAAGAGAAAAGTCGTGCTCTCCTCATGCATCAACACATCCAATGTACCTCAAGACTATACTGCCTGGACGAATAGATCTCATCGGGTTCTTCAGTGGCTGCCCCAAGCCTACAGTTCAGTGGTACAAAGATGACGTTTTATTAACAAACACGAGTAGAATCAGCATCACTGATAAAGCACTGACTAATAAGAACTATACATTCAGTGTACTGGAGATAAGGAATCCAATCACCTCAGATTTTGGCTTGTATCGCGTTGTAGCCAACAACACTGAAGGAGTCTTAGCATACGATGTTGCTGTAAACGGTTAGTAAGGATACACACTACAGACATTATATCTACAAACCCATGAACTGTTTCTTATGCACTTAAACACTAATGGTGGTGATTATAACAATGTCTATCTCCTCATCCTGTTACTATTTCCTCTCTCTCTATACAGTTCCACCATACTATAATCCACAATCCAAGAGGAAGAGATCTATTGATGCACCAGACAATGATGTCGCTTCATTATGCACTACTAACAACACAGGTGTGCCATAGAGAGTGTGTGTAGCTCTAGTAACCACGATTTTTATCATTCTCCTTTTTTAGTTGTGTTTGTCGGTAGCATACGTCGCTCCACAGAAGACATGTCAATCGTCATGGTAAAGAGATTGCTACCAAGTTCTCTAAAAGTAGAAAAGAGACTAAAAACCAACGAAATGATAAAGGTTCATCATCCCTACGGAAAGGAGAGATTAAGAGGGAAAGATGACCATGTATTTATTGTTAAAAAATACAGCAGTGATGCCGGAGTGGATTTCATGCTTAACAGAGTGTACCCAACAGATATTGAGGCTGATCTTGCTCATCTCTGCACAAACTAAATGTATAATTATCATTATATTGTTATTATTATCCATCATTAATTTTTGATCTCAGATATTGTACAATATTATTATTATCATTATTATTATTATTATTATTATTATTATTAATATTATTGTTATTATTACTACTACTATAAAACTTGCTTGGCAGACCTCTTAATTTCTTATTATTTTTATTGTCTTTTCCTTGTTAAAAGTAGCACACTGTAAAACTGTATACAATCTTTACTATGTAATAATAATTATTAATTTTTAAATAAAAATAAAACTACCATCTTGGCTGGATAATATCAACTCAATAGTAGTGGTTGCCTTGGCAACGACTTCGTTGCCTAGTAACAAAGTTGCTAGGCAACAACTTGGCTTCTATGCACACTGGAGCAGCTGTTGAGGATAAACACTCGCTAAACCAATTAATCATTAATTAGGAGACTGAGACCTAGCTACAACCGTTAACTAATGGCTGGCCATAGACGTAGTAGCAGTAGTAATAATATAATAATTGTAATAGAGTACTATATACGGTGGGTATAACATCACTTGTTACTGCTCGTGATATGATAATTTGAGTAGTACAAGTCAGGAAATACTCAATAACTAATACACTTTGATCTTTACCATTAACCCATCCATATACTTCCAATGGTATACATGTTCACGTAGACTTACCAGACATTAAGCTCATAAGAAGAGTATTATTACTACTCTTGCTCATAGCCTATTACTACTCTTGCTCATAGCCATTCCCAATGCATATCATACCATACTAAATGATCTAATATATGCCAGGCCACCAGTGTCATGAACACACGCTCTTTGCTCTGTCATCTAACTAGCTGATAGGTTGGCATGTGCTATAGTTTACAAACAACTCCAAATGCGTGTCACTTTTGGTAGTCATTCATACCCTTGGAAAGAGAGTCCCAGGCAAATTACATTGTTTTAATTCATAATAGATTTAATTATTACCAATTAGGTCAAGGATTACCAATAATAGAATAATCATCTTATAACTTTCCAATGGCGTGTCATAACAAGTGAAACATGATAGCCATCTTATAGAAGCATATTCTTAGAAACGTACGTACATAATGTTGACATTGTTACTAAGTTACTATAGCATCCATAATTTATTACTCTATTAGGCTGTTGTTGATGTACAGTGCAATTAAGACACCATTCGGTCTGCACTACCTGTCCTTAATACAAAGGCATCTTCATTTCAGAGGTATTTTTGCATAGCCTTGTACCAATTGGGACATTACTAAATGTCTGCCAAATTTGGCCAAATTTGACCAAAAATAAAAAGGAAATTTATTTAATTTTTATAATTTTTTCTGATACACATACAAGTACTTATGTTGTGTTTCAAAGTTTGAACTGATTCTGATCAAAATTGAATTTTTTAAGTTGCTAAAAAATCTGGCCAAAGTGCCTGTACTATAGTACAGGGCCATTAGCCAAATTTTACCAAAATTGACCAAAACAAAATTCTCCACTTTTATATTTTTTTTCTGATACATATACATGTCTTTATCTTGTGTTTTAATTTTGAGCTGATTCCAATTAAAATTGGATTTTTTAATGAATTTTTAAACTTGCTACTATGATTATAGTGCTTGTCAGCTCATAAGCTCATGCTGTTAGCTCACTTAGTATACTCTTTATCATCACCATTACATGTACAGATAGCCCCTACATAAGGGCCTGTCATTAATACAGAGGTGTCCTCATTTCAGAGGTGCTTTTGCATAGGCTTAAACCAATTAGAAAATGTCCTCATTATAAAGTAACCTTATCTCAAGATGCCCTTATCATACATAGTGGTTACACTATGTATATAAACATGTACTAAGCTTGAACATATCATAGCTACTAAGCAACTCAAATAGTTGCTTGGCAAAGGAGACTTCCTGATAGACAAAATATACACAAATATAGTGATGTCATAGAGAAATATGACCTATCCCATTTAAAAATAAATTCCAATAATTGAATTATCTACTTTAGTACATGTGAACTGGACATTAGGACAATACCCTAATCAAATCAACCCTCAATTGGTTTGACACCATATTGACTAATAAACAAATAGATACTACAAACAAACACGCATTCTTTGCAGGTTATATTGGCAAACAAACTTACGTGTACTCTCACTTCTCTTTTCCCCCTCTCTCCCTTTTTCTTGTGTATTTAATGTTCCCCCACGCATACACCTGCTTTTTAATGATCTCTCCTCCTCCTCCTCCTCCTCCTTCTGTCTTTGTTTCTCTCTCCTCCACTCTCTCTCTCCTTAGTAATATCCCCCCACACTTGACGTGCCATACACACGCATCAAGTTTGTGTAGGACTGAACACACTTCCGCACACAAAATAAGCTGCCATTTTATGAATACAATAATGAATATCGAATAATATAAAAAGAAATACGAAATTACTATATTCAACAAAAGAGAGGAAGAAAAAGAAAGAGAGAGAGAGAGGAAGAAGGGTGAAAAACAAGAGAAAGCTAGTCCATGGAGACATATTGTCTCACAATTCTACATGTAAAATAGTGATTCCAGTTCTAATTATTCATATGTTTACCTCCTCTGCATTACTCCTACGTCCACACTAAATGTCACGCACACTCACTCCAGATATATACTACATGTACTTGTACATATTTTATTTTAATTGATCTCCACTAGCTCTTTTATTGCAGAGCACTTCCAGGGCAACACGCTCCTAATATCGTTACATGGCTCAGAATGAGTAAATGTCTAGACACTACGCCCTTTGTACAGGTACAACGAGCTTCTTTCCGCCCACGCTCCAGGACCAAAGACAAAACAGGCATTCATTCACGTCTCAATACGTCTCTTAAAGGAGCCATCCCGTTTATCATTCACTAATAGCATTCTCACAGATGCAATGCAATGTGATACACTTGTACACAACGCTCTGATTGAATAAAATGAATTATTCATGAGTCGAAATAGGATATCTTTCCTCCTCTCCTTACAACTATTTCTTTCATGCATTGTTACGGGCTGATGAGTAGTGGCTGCCTGTGCGTGAGAGAGATGGTACATGATACTAATCAAACACGTGTTAGTAGGAGTATCTGGTAAAACATGGCAAGAGTTATTGCATTTACAACTCTCATACTACAGAGAGAGAAATTACACACTTGTACAGTTATACACATATGCAAATCATGAACCATGTAATCCTTTGGCTCGTAATAATATTAAATCAGACGTGTATGCTGATCCTCTTTCACCACAAACAAATTACATAAAAGGTGCAATTGCAAACAGTAAACATGTAAACAATACATATAAATATACACTTACGCAGCAATTTGAACCATACATCCAAAGCTTCTTGATTAAAGCAAGCTAATAAAGTGAAACTTGCATGTGACATACAGAGATACAGCTGGATAATCTATAAAAGGAATAGGAGAATCTCATTATCTTAATGAGAGGAAGGTAAGGTTATGGTCAGGGACTTACAATGACAAATTACATTATATGACAAATCAACATAAACAGAATACTTTTTAATTTAGGAAGTGAATTTTAGTTGCTAATGTTTGGGAGGATTTGCTGACATAACTACAGCAGGAAATTTCAATGTTTGTTCCATTCAGGGATTAGTAGTAATATTTCTCTTTCCTCCATTATTTTTTCCTTTCTTCAACTGTCTGAGTTTGACGTGTCGTGTAAACTTCAGATCTCCTACACAAACTGTTAGCTTATCTCAGTTTAAATAAAATTACGCAAAACTGAGACACACACATGTACACGATAAAAAGAGACACGAGATTATAGTAGTACATTAATAACAAAGTGTGTAAACACTAGTCAAAGTAAAGATAAGTACAATTGACTAGTCATAATTAGTTCATTTAAACAAACAAACACACACACTCACTCTCTTTACATTTGATGTGACCTTTAACTCCTACATTGGTACAAGTCATGAACTCCACTACTTATTACATTACCGGCCTATTGCGGTCTCCCTTTTAGTCTTGGTACAATGCAGGCTGGATTACTATTATGAAAAATAATTATGGAGGATCATAATATGTTGGTAGACAAACTCTTTCATTTAGTCCATTTGATACACTAAACAATATCAAATTATTATCGTATAAACATATCCAAACAAATAAATCTATTTACTGTCGGTCCTCCTTGTAACATTACGCAAGCACTCCTCTTCTCTCCTCCCTCTCTCTTTCTTTCTTAAATCTATTTTTCCTACCTCTCTCTTTTTTCATTTTGTCCTCTTATTAAATTGCACCTGTTAAACATGAAGGAACACATGTCAAGCAATTATTAGTTATTATAAGAACACGTATATGCATGGCTACACACATGTAACCTGTACATGCGTACAAGCAGTGAGAGGTCAAAAGTAAAACGCCAAATAATCATTAATCATTGTTATCACTATATCAAAGCAGGCCATTATTATGTTTAATAATAACAATGGAAATATGATATTTAGTGATATCTAAGATTATTGCTTTGTTATGACAAGCCGTTTGGTCTCATAGTAAGGCAGCAGTTGTATTTACTACACACAGTTAAGTTGGTTGTGTCAGGCGTCGTAAAAACTGATGATTGATCTTGTAGTGTTCAGGTGGGAGTGTTCTTGTCTTTTAATTATAAAAATGCATTATTAAGTTGGAGAGGAGGAGGAGGAGGAAAAAGGTACACTGTAAATTTGTGTGTGATCATTAATTACTACTACTGTAGTGACAAAGTCCAACTCACCTCCACTCTACAAGGACGGCTCTGAGATTGTTTTTTGACAGAGACAAACCTGACCGCAGGCAGTGTACTATTAACAATATGAATTATCATTTTTAGCTGCAATTAATCTCAGGCTTGCCATTGATTTTAGACTTCATTGGCAGTGAGCCACACCCTTGAAGTAGTCTATCCATCCGGTTCATTCCTCTGACGTCCAAAATCCAAATCATCTGTCTGTGTGCAAACAAACTTGGCATGCAAGTATATAAAGAGACAGGCTAAGCAAGTGAGAAATAGATTAGCTTTGCAGCACTTAACACTAGCAAAGAAGCAAGAAACATACAAGAAAAGATGATGAGAGAGGAGACACTTAACATCCTATTTATTCTACTGGCAATTTGTAAGCCCCCTGCAACAATGACTCCTGTATTTTAATAAAACTCTTTCTTCCCCTACAGCCACAACCACACTTAGAATAGCTAGAGGAGAGGAAGAGAAGCAGGAGGCCTGCAGGGAACTTAATGAAATAGGGAACATACTGGATGAAGAGGAGTGTATGAATGGAACACAGGAAGCAAGATACTACTATGATAGCAATGCAAGAACTTGCAACTCAATCCTCACATGCAACAGTACACTACTAGACTCATTACACAGGTCTATCGACGAATGCAGATCACTTTGTTGTAAGTATAATCATTAATATCATTATCATTATTATTATTATTTTTATTCTAATAGCTCCTTGCCCGGCATTAAAACCAACCTCACATAGTTCCGTAATATTCTCAACATGTACACAGAGCAGCATTGATTGCGAAGCAGTATACAGATGTGAAAATGACTATTTCTTCTTTACTGGCAATAAAAGAACATGCAGAAATGGAGTATGGTCAGACGAGCCAATATGTGCAAGTAAGGCACAAAATAACTTAAATATGAAAGCTTTTCATCTCTCTCTCTTCCTTTATCAGAGCCTGTCATATATTATAAAGAAAAGGAGTTAGATAAACATGCTGTGATATACTTAAATGATAGTAAAACAGTATCAACAGAGACAGTGGAGTGTAGAGTACAACCAAAGCTGCCAAAGAACACAATAGTGAGATGGACTACACAATCACGCCATGTTATCAATGGGACGTGGAGTGAGACAGGCTACCAGTTGTCTATACTCAGCAATGGATCTTTTCCTACCGAATACTTCTGCAACATCAGTACACTTATAGATGGAAACGTAAAATCCTTCCATGCCAGTGTTATCTTCAATGGTAAATAAAATACTCTTTATTATGAAATATTCATTATCACGATCTCTCTTCCTCTAGTAAACACTACTGCCAATACCAAACCTCCTGAAATCTTATACTCGCTCGCTTATTACAATCCAGCGACATCAGTCATTAAAGGAGAATGTTTTTGCAAAGGTTATCCAAAACCAAGTGTCTCTTGGTACATAGATGACATAGAACTCGCTGGAAATGCCATAGACTTAACGGAAACATCAGAGGATAAAACATTTAGTGTACTACAAATAAGAACTAATCAGCAGAGTGGAGGATACAAGTGTAGCTGCAGCAATGGGAAAGAAACCATTGAAAGCATTGAGCACTATGTATCAGTACCAGGTAAGAGATTATAGCAAAATAATAATAATAATAATTAGTAATAATAATGTTATGATAGCATTGCTTAACACTACTATATCTTGCTATTATTAGGAAGCACAACCAGCAGAAGAAAAAGGTCAAGCAGCAAAGAGGAGGAACTAGAAATATGCAGCATGATAAAGAGCAGCACTGGTAAGAATTGTGTTATGATAATTACAATGAGGGTGTGAAGTGAGAGAGTAGATTTATCCACTCTTCAATTTTTATAGTTACAATCACGGGAACTGTGAAAAGGCAGCTCTCCTCCTCCTCTATCCTTCATGTCAAACAAGATAATTTAATATATTCTAGACCCAGAGTGCCCTCCTTACCAAAAGTATTGAGAGTGACAAGCAGTCAAAGCAACGCCAAAAGTAACAAAACATACTTAATGTTATTAGATGGGACAAAGGAAGGAGGCTACAACTTAGCATTAAAACTACCTTATTCAAAAGAACTAGTCGAGTCAGTAATACAATTGTGTCAATTATAACAAGACTCTCATTTTTATTGCTATTTGAATCTATCTCTTATATGCTACACTTTATTTATTACACACACACACACTCACATCATATGCTAATTATTCACTGCACCACATGCCACAAATATACAAATGCTGGTCATCGTCTTTTTCTTTCTCTTAATTTATTAAATAATTATTATAATTTTTGTATTCCGTCATACACTTTTATTTATTTTTTTGACTTTTACTTAATTAATTTCAAATATCACAAAGCAGTCACGCCAAAGACACACCTGCGTCCATCTAAAGGCAATGCAAACATACACGTGCCACTGTTATCATTACGATGGCAATTACAAGTAATAATAACAAGACCTTGATCTTTTAATAAAATATATTATACGTACGATATAAAAAACAAACCTCCAAGGCAAAAACACCAAATGAAAACGGCCAATGCAGTGCTAATACAAAGAATTTCATTATATAATACATTAGAAAGGGGAATTACATCACTAGCGAGAAAAAGAATATTTAAGGAATTAGACCCACAACAATACATGATCATAAGTCACATTACATGCATTTCTAAATATGTACGTATACAAATAGCCCATACAACTTTTAAGGAATAGGATCTATAGGATCATAAGTCACATTACATGTGAATTCATTCCTACACACACACACACACGTACATTCAAATAGCCCATACAACTTTAAGGAACAGGATCTATTAGCAACAATACATGATCACGACAATACCTTCTACATTCTTAAATGGAACACACATGATTTCTACGTCAGAGTAAGAAGACTTAGAAAATAACTGAGTGATTGGGTAATGAAATTACAGCCAACCTCAACACTAACACAGCTGGCATTCTGATTACTAACATATGCCAGAGGTAACGACGAGACATTGTTTTTTATTAGAAGGCCACATCAAGTTACACGTTAGCAAATAACACATAATAAAAGAAATAGAATTAGAATTAGCGAGTCTGAGAATCAGATCAAGGATAACGAGTAAACCAGTATAACGTTACGATTTAAGCTAATTAGGATTCTTCGAGCTTTCTCTACAAAAAAGGAAATGAGTGATATAATTCTGACGTGATCAAAATTACCTTTTTGCTTGGCTTTGAGACCAGTTTTGTCTCGTTTGTTAATTTAAACGTCTTTAAAGGATTATTGTGTTGTCTTACCTGTAAATTACAGATACATGTATTCTTAATAGTGCATAACAGTGGTGAGTGTGTGTGTGTGTTTATACGGTTATATACATTAAAAATAATAAGCTAATGAATGATGAGCCAGCTTTAAATCTATGCATGACACATGCACCAAATGGAATTAATGAAATCCAATAACAGAAATTAAATAACAACAGATGGTCGACAATGCAATCATCATACTTTATGAGCTCTTCTTCTCTTCATATTACCATCTCCTATTCCTTCTCTTTCCTCTACTGCCGAACTCTTTAAAGCTTTAGGCACTAAATGTAATGACAATAATCACGGTCAATCAGAAAAAATGTCCTTGTAGAGTTAAGCATTAGAGGATTTCCATACTAAGAATCACACACCCTAGGTGCTCCTTGATTTGAGCATAGTCCACATACCAATAGGCAAACAAATATTTAATATGCAAAAACTTGTCACTATATATGTACAAACAAATCCACAGCCCCTTCAATTCATTAATTGTCACTAATGATCAAATAAGGAGAAGAGAGTGGACAGGGAGGGATAGGGTGGGACTTGGCAAAAAAAGAAAGTTACAAGAGGGATTGAAGGAGGAAGAATAAATTAAATTATTAAAATAAAGACACAAAATGACATTCCCTCTTTTCCAAAATAGATCCTGTTGGCATTCTTTCATTACTGGATTATGTAATGGGTTACTATACAAGGCATACAAATGCAATGCCGTCAAGGAAAACATTGTACATGTACATGTGTATACGTGTAGTTCTGGATATAAATCTAATAATAATAATATGACTAAAGGGAACAAACAGACTATCGCTTACCAAGATAAGGTGGAATGTACTTCAAATGCTCCTTCACTTTGCTTGAGGGCAGTAAGTCTCGGTCGTGTCTCAACACTTGCAAATCCCGCGGATTATCCTCAAAATGAGTCTATTGCCAAATAAGGATTTTATGTTAACACGAGTAGTACAAGTCATGCGTGTCAGACAAAGTTTAAGGCACATGTCCTAAGTGGCTAGTGAATGAGCATTCATTAGCACAAAGGATTACGTAATCATTCTCTCGCCTGGCAAAAGTGTCAAATTGCTATATTTTCTATATTTCAATTAACTACTTATCACTTATTAAAGAGTATCGATTTTACACATTCCAAACTACTGCTGCACTAATTAGTAATAATATTCTTGGAGTCACCATATTATAGTGGAACTGTCAACACTGAAAGCACATGTATATGTACACACTAATAGGTTTATACAGAAACATGACATAAACTAATAGGCTTGATTCATTGGAAAGAACACTTGAATGTGTATTTCTCGATACACCAGATTGCGACATAATAACAAGTCTTAATAACCCATTGTTAGCTATTCACTATTGTATAGGCCACTATTGTTTATACACAGGTGGTGGATATGGTTATAATTCTACCATGCCTAGTTGCAATTGACCAATCAGATTGCTTGATTTTAGGTTCATGAATAACTTATTTACCACTAGGAGGTGTAATAAGTAATTTCCTGGGTATTTTAAGCAGGAGGTTAATAAGTAATTTCCCGGGTAAACTTATTAACCTCCAGGGCCACTTATTAACCTCCTACTGTCCGGGAAATAACTTATCAAACCTCCCTGTGGTAAATAAGCTATTTATGAACCTAAAATCAAGCAATCTGATTGGTCAATTGCAACTAGGCATGGTAGAAGTAAACTCCCGGACAATTGGAGGTTAATAAGTTTGCCCAACAAATTACTTATTAACCTTCTGCCTAAAATAGGCATGCTGTTGCTAAGTAAACTACTGTAGTTGTTAAATTAGTCATAGATATTAGTACATGGTAGAAGTTGGTTATACAACTCTGTGTCAGTATCTCCGGCCATATCATACCTCGTTGTATAACCTTTACGTATTGAATTACCTTGAGTCTTTTTGATGATAAAATTTCACATCTTATCTCCTTCAAACGTGCCTCTTTTACTATATATATAATAATTAAATATATTTTAGTGTAAAGTAATGATTGCATGGTCTCACTGGCAAGTTGAGTGACAGCCTGGACAGCTTCCTATTAATAAATATACACATGAAAGTTTGAGTAAAAGTTATGGCTGTCTCAAAAATAAACAAATTTTGAACAAGATGATGAACCAGAAAAAATCAAAAGGAACTAGTTATCCTCCATTTCTATAACTTTAGTCTGATACATATACATGTATGTCAAGTAGAAAGTTTGAGCCAATTCTGATCAAATTTGAATTTTTTTTACAAATTTTTAAAGCTGCTCAAAAATCGGGCTAATGACCCTGTACTATAGTACAGGGTTGTTGGTCAAATTTTGCCAAAAATGACTGTGAGAGAATTCTCAATTTTTATTACATTTTCTGATGCATATACATGTTCTTATGTTGTGTAGCAAGTTTGAGCCGATTCCGATTACATTTGGATTTTTTAATGAATTTTTAAGTTACTCAAAAATCGGGCCAAAGTCCCTGTACTATAGTACAGTGTCATTGGCGAAATTTCACCAAAAATGACTAGGAGAGAATTCTCAATTTTTATTACATTTTCTGATGCATATACATGTTCTTATGTTGTGTAGCAAGTTTGAGTTGATTCCAATTAAATTTGGATTTTTATGAATTTTTAAAGTTACTCAAAAATCGGGTCAAAGTCCCTGTATATTATAGTACAGGGCGTTGGCCAAATTTCACCAAAAATGACTAGGAGAGAATTCTCAATTTTTATTACATTTTCTGATGCATATACATGTTCTTATGTTGTGTAGCAAGTTTGAACTGATTCCAATTAAATTTGGATTTTTTATAAATTTTTAAAGTTGCTCAAAAATTTGACCAAAGGCAGGCCTGTACATGCAGTTATATTTGCTCTTGCATACACATGTAGCTCAGTCACAATGATAAGTAACTCCCCCTCCCTATTAAGCAGTAATACGTACCTGTACTCTATACCGAAATCCTTCAATTTCGGACATTTTAAATTTATACGGTTGAACTAAATCATGATCAAAGTCTCTCTCTAAAAAATAAAAAAATTAATAAATAAATAAATTAATACATCAATTTGGCTATAGCTGCCTACGTTCTTTTAATAATAACTGTAACTCTGTTAACTTTGTCTCTTCGGATGGCGACACGAACGTCAGGGCAGTCCCATAGTCATTGCCTCTCGCAGTTCTATACAATAACACAATAAAAAATATCATACACATTACAATGAGCATATAAATGTGATATTAATACAGTATAATACACTGTATAAATTGCTACCTGCCAACTCTGTGTATGTAGGCCTTGGAATTTGGAGGGAAATCAAAGTTGACTACATTAACAACACCTGAAAAATTATATTAATAAACTAATAAATATTAATATAATTAACTATATTAATTAATATATGTTAATTAACTAATATTAATTAACCTTGAAAATCAATTCCACGCGATACTCCATATTCTTTGTCTTGTCCTTTCTTTTTCTTTTTTGTTTGGTGGGTGTGGTCAACCAACTCATCTGTAGCAATTATGTAATCGTAAATGTCACGATTAAATTGTTCAATGACATGACATCTAATGAAAATGTCCTTGAAATAAATTATTAGTAACTATAAGAGCAGTTTCACCTCGAGTTGTGAGGTAGCTCGGAATTTAGAACACACGACTTGATAAAAAACTGTTCAAGAAATAGTTTCAATCTGTCACAGTAATAATAATGATGATAATAATAATAATAATAAAATTACTTGTAGCATCTTGTGATGTCGTTAACAAATATTAACGATTTTCCTCTAATTAATCTAAAAAATAAACAGATAAAATAATAACAATAATAATAATAATTCTACTTTAATTTGAGCAAGCTATATATTAGTAGAAATTTATCATCTTCCAAACATCTAGAGAAAAAAATAAAAATAAAAAGAGATTATGCGATAAGTGAAAAATTGTATAAACAGGCCAATTTCTGAAAAACACCATGGGCTATATACATGTAGTCCATGCTAAATGGCTCCAAAATCACCCACAATTATTTTTACAATCTTGATGCAGTATACTGTATAACGCTTTATTTTGGCGGCGCTTTATTTTGGCGATTTTGCTGTAATTGTAATTGGCGGTTTTTAATTTGGCGATTTTTGTGTACACTTGCATTACTGATCATGCGCATTAATGATTGGTGGTTTTACTATTGGCGATTCTGCTTGCAAACCGCCAATCACCAAAATAAAACTCCGCCAAATTAAAGCGTTATACGGTATATGAACTGCCATATGACATATAATTATTTTTCGAGCGTTCTAAAATATTCTATGCTCACTGTATGTGGTATTGTGTTAGTCTGTCATCTTGAGGCAGTTCAGATTCCTCCAGTTTAATTGTAACCTTAAGTTAATAATAATAATAATTAATATTAATGAATAATTAATGATTTACTGGCTGATGCAGCACAACTTTCTTGAGAGATATCACATCCTTTAATCATTAAATCAATATTAATTAATTGTTTGTTGATTAATTACCTCATTAAGTGTTGCTGACATTAATATTGATTGAATTGGTGAAGGTAGAAAACTATAATAATAACAATAATAATAATAATAATAATAATAATATAATAACCTGACAATATTATTGATGTCTTCTTCATAGCCATAACTAAACAACAGATCAGCTTCATCAAAGATAACAAAATGAAGAGATTCTGTCAGTAATAAAGACTAGAATCAAAGAGAAGAAAAAAGAGAGAGAAGAGGTAGCTTGATACTACAGTGATATCATACTTTTCCTGACAGGTGTGATAATATCCTGCTTGGTGTTCCAACTACAACATCAGGACATTCTAACAGTACAGTTCTATAAAGAGGTCATCACATGATACAGCCACATGATAGTTTACCGTTGGCTAGATACAGCATTACTCTGTGACACACATACAACTTTTATATCCCTTGAACAGCAGGTGCATAGCTCCTATGGATGATATAAACTATAATCCTCTCTCTCTCTCTCTCTTTACTTTTATTTGAGCAGCTGCTTGAAGGCTAAGCTCCTGCGATGGTACAAGTACTAGTGCCTTCACACTAGGGGGTACTTTAATCTATTTAATATTTGATTATGATTAATTATAATTATTAATTAAACTAACGCTTGTTGATTGCAGTTCTAATATTTTCTGTATCAGTGGTAGAGCATAGCTAGCAAAAATAATAGTAATTTTAATATTATTTAATCATCATTATTTTATTTTTATTATTAACTGCTACCTTGCTGTTTTTCCAGAGCCAGTCTTAGCTTTTACAACCAAATCCTTTCCTTCCATTATCAGTGGAACTGCCTTCTCCTGCAAAAATTGAACAAAATAAAACAAATTTCAAATAATAATTAATTATCAGACTTGTATTGGTGTAGGCTGGCCCCATCCCAGCTTCCTAACTGCCTAAAAGAAATAGACTAAAACATAAAAATGATAAATAATGAATAACTTTAACAATCCTGGGATCAAGATTCATCTCATCAAACCTCATTGTTCCACAAGCAGACATGTTTATGCACGTGGGAGGAGTAGGCGTGGTTTTGGGAGTGGTCAAAATTGTATTGAATGGGTGGGGTCAATGACTCGATATATGTGTGTGCATGTGATTGTGATCTGATTCATAATTCAATCGACAGTTCGACACCATTTTTACTCTCAACATGGCGGAACCTGTTCAGTTAAAAGTTGTTAAAGTCCCACAAGATCACTATTCCTTCACTAACTGTGCCGTTATTTCCTCACAGAACCCAACACTAAAATCTGCGTGAGTATATGCATTAACTGAAAGTTGCTATCACGTATCTTTTGTGCTATTATTGTTAGTAAGTATATCACAATAAATGGGAAGTTTCCTTTAAAAGTTATACTTGATGAGAACCGTGGGGTCGGTCTTAGTGATATTGCACTAAATGGGAAGCAAGTTAGTCTTTTGTCAGATACCATTGATCTACTGCAAATGTAATCACTTGTGAATTATGTCTGTGTACTTCTCTCTCTCTCCTCACTTATACAGCGTGATTGGATTGACTGTAATCTTGGATCATTTCTATCAGGTAATCATTCCTTTATTTAATATTTTATGCATTTATTTATTTATTTATTTGTTAGTAAAACCATGTGTTGTTGATCAGTATATTGCCAGCATGTCTGTTGAATTGGACTTCTACAATGGACGACAACCAAGGTACACATCTTGGGCTCTCATTTGACCTTTCCCCTCCCCTCCCCCCCTCTCTCTCTCTCGTTCAGGAAAGCTCCTCCTAATATTGATACTGAGAGGCTCCTTGAGGCATTTCAGGATGAATTTGCTCGTGGAGCAAGCACAAACTCATTTGCAAACAACCAACTGGTAATAAGGAGAGAGAGAGGGGGAGAGAAAGGGAGAGAGGGAGAGAGAAAGAGAGAGAGAGAGAGAGAGAGAGAGAGAGAGAGAGAGAGAGAGAGAGAGAGAGGGGAGAGAAAGGGAGAGAGAGAGAGAGAGAGAGAGAAGAGAGAGGGAGGGAGGGAGAGAGAGAGGAGGGGGAGTGTGTGGGTATGCATTTACAAATGTGCTAAACTTGATTTATTAGATTAGTAATAGTAGCATTTGTTTTTATTATTAATTTTCTAATTTAATAGTTAACGATACAGTTCAAGCAGATTGAGAAGTGTCCACTGATGGAAGGAAAAGTCATGAATATTGAATGTAAGACTATTAATTAATTAATTATTAATTATTATTATTAATAGTTATTAAGAGTGAAGGCAGACCTCAACCATCATCAGGGGTAATGTACATGCATATGTATCTGCAGTTCAAAATAAAATTATTATTAACAACGATTGTGTTTTGTTCATGTAGATTAACTATGGTCGTCTTGCTGCAAATTCTATCATAACTTTTGAGAAAAAAGATGTAATAATTATAAGATATTACTTTCCTAAATTATTTCTTTGCTTTTAGGGATCTACTTTGCAATTGACAGGACGTAGGAAAGGGTAATTAGTAATGATGATGATGATGATGATCATAATAATAATAATAATAATAATAATAATAATAATTTTTGTTTTTTTAGAAAGTCAGCACAAGTTGCAATCATCAGTCCTGATTTTGATTTCAAAACGATGGGAATTGGAGGACTTGATAAAGTAATCAATTCTTATTTATTTATATTTTATTCATTATCAATAGGAATTTTCTGACATATTCAGACGAGCTTTTGCGTCACGCGTGTTTCCAGCTGAACTGGTTGAGGCACTCGGTAAGTAAACCACACCCATTTATAAGGAATATACAGTCTTGTCATTTCTGACTCCAAAATCACCTAATTCCATGTATATTTATGTCACATTTTTAAAGCCTAGGACCATTCTTTTCAATTGTTAAGATACTTTTATTCTTAGGAATGAAGCACGTTCGTGGTATATTACTCTATGGCCCACCTGGTAATGACACACACACACACAGTACATCACGTGATAGTACAATGACTCTCACATGACAGGTACCGGTAAAACACTAATGGCCCGTCAGATCGGTAAAATGTTACACGCAAGGGAACCGAAGATAATCCATGGACCCGAAATACTGGATAAATACGTTGGGCAGTCTGAGGCCAACATTCGCCTACTGTTTGCTGAAGCTGAGGCAGAAGAGAAGAAGAGTGGCATCAACAGTGCACTACACATTATTATATTTGATGAGATTGATGCCATCTGTAGACAGAGAGGATCACTGGTATAATCTTTATTATTATTGTTAATTATGATTTATTTTATTTACTAAGAGTGGCAGCACTGGAGTCCATGATACTGTTGTGAATCAGTTGCTGGCTAAGGTAGGAGAGAGAGAGAGAGAGAGAGAGAGAGAGTGTGTGTGTGTGTGTGTGTGTGTGTGTGTGTGTGTGTGTGTGTGTGTGTGTGTGTGTGTGTGTGTGTGTGTGTGTGTGTGTGTGGGAGAGGTATAGAGAGAGAACAAGTATGTTTTTTATGTCCGATCTTTCAATCATTACCAGATTGATGGTGTAGAACAACTAAACAACATTCTACTGATTGGAATGACCAACAGAAAGGACATGATCGATGAAGCCTTGTTGCGACCTGGTCGCTTAGAAGTACAAATGGAAATCGGTTAGTTTATTCACACGTACATGTACACAATAATAATGGCTACTCAATAGGTTTACCTGATGCTAAAGGAAGATTTGAAATATTAAACATTCACACTGCTAAGATAAGAGATAGTGAAAAACTTGGTAAGGACGTTGATCTTGAAGAGCTATCCGAAGTCACGCGTAATTTTAGCGGAGCAGAAATTGAGGGATTGGTACGAAGTGCTATTTCAACCGCCATGAATAGAATGATATCTGTGAGTTTGATGGTATTTATAAGTGGATGTTGTTGTGCTCTGTATTTAGGCCAAAGACCGTGTTGAGGTGGATCACAATGAAGCTGATAATCTCAAAGTAACTCGTGCTGATTTCCAATTTGCTCTTGAGCACGACATCAAGCCTGCCTTTGGAATCAGTGAGAAAGAACTGGACTTCTATGTTAGAAATGGTAAAAATGAAAACCAATTAGTATTACTATTTATTATTATTATTATTATTATTATTATTATTGTATTAAAAAAACATAAAGAGCATTTACATGTAGGTGTAGGGTGAACAAAAATAAGTATAATTATAATTTATAATGAGTTTAGATTTCATATAAATCATTATTATTATTATTATTATTATTATTATTATTATTATTATTATTATTATTATTATTATTATTATTATTATTATGGATGCAGGTATTATTCATTGGTCTCCAAGGATACAAGGGATCCTCTCTCGTGGTAAACTAGCTGTACAACAGACACAGGAATCAGCTCATAACTACCTCATCAGTTTATTAATAAAAGGTAGTGTTGTGCTGTTAGTATGAACACTATTATTATTATTTATTATTAGGTGCTCCTGGGTCTGGTAAAACTGCCCTTGCAGTACAAATGGCTAAAGATTCTGCATTCCCGTTTGTGAAGGTCATCTCCCCCGAGAACATGATTGGATATCATGAAAGTGCAAAATGTCAAATGATAAAGAAGGTAAGGACACCAATGCATGTACAGTTTGTATCAGATAATGCAACAAAAATTTGGAGTGATTTAGGGGCCTTTTTGGAAAAATCCATGATAGCCTTTGCTTTTTTCAAAAATTGGTTCATTTAAAAAATGCTCGTAACTCGAAAAATTGATGTTGGAATTGACTCAAACTTTCTACATAGCATAAGGATATCAATATGTATCAGAAAATGTAATTAAAATTTGTGGTGATTTTGGAGCCATTTTCTTTGAAAAATTCATAGACTATAGCCTTGGGTATTTTGGCCTATTTTTAGAATACAAACTAAAGGGTTTTGTGAGCGATTTATTGTTACACATGCATGTGTACATACCAGTATCCTTTTTATACAGGTTTTTGAAGATGCCTACAAGTCACCAATCAGTTGTATCGTCATTGATGACATTGAGAGTCTCTTGGGTAAGTATATCTAATTAATGCCCACGACCCTATCTTGGTATGTAGATTACGTGAGTATTGGCCCAAGGTTTTCAAACCTTGTCTTGCAGGCTCTTTTGGTACTGCTGCGTAAACAGCCTCCAGCTGTAAGACAAATCTCTTTCCCTCTCTTTGTTACTCGCTCCTCCTTTTGTAGCGTCATAGATTGCTAATACTGGGTACCACTAGTTTATCAAATGAGACATTAGCATCATTTGGTATTGAGAATGCATTCAGTAGCTCAGTTACTGCTCATTCTGTCACCGAAGGATCCGAAGTTATTGAAATAATTAAAGTAACTTATAATTACTGCATGATAATAATAATTATAATATTTCTTCATTTTGTAGCAAATCAACTTATTTGAGAAATCTGACTTGTCTTACTTAGAGAAAGAGCTCGAAGGGAAAAAGTAAGTTATAATAGTCCATGTACTGTACACGTGCATTTTCTCAGTATTAGTGCACATTTTTAATTATTGCATTCATGTCGTGTATAGGTTAAGGATTGGGATTAAGAAACTGATAGCATTATCAGATGCAGCTTGTCAAGTATAATAATAATAATGATGATGATGTGTATTATAAGTGATATATCTTTATAGTCTAAGGATGCTGTGGCTGATTTTGTTTCTCTCCTTAAGTCAGAGGCTGATCTCAAGTTAGATCTAGAAATTCAAGATCACTACTAATGAGCATCTGCTAAACATTTTAATAATAATGCTAGTTTTTTTTTACTCATGCAGTGTCTGTTGCTGTTATCTTAATTGTCAGCTGAGTGATTTTCTACACTAATAAATTAATGAAAATATTCTTCATAAGGATTATTATTATTATGCATCATTTCAAGCTATTGAATTAGGATTGTTAATATTATTATTATTTAAAGTTGTCATTATTGGTTTCTATTATTTTTAATTTAGGTATCATTTTTTTCTTTTTCATCTCATTCTTCTCATTTTATCTTCTTCTGTGTCTATCTTCACGATCTCTTCTTTCTCTTGATCTGTCTTCTGTCTCTAGATCTCTCTTCCCTGCTTTGTCTTTCTCTTGATCTGTCTTCTCTACTTCTTTCCCTATATCTGTCCTCTCTCCTTCTTTCCCTGTATCTGTCCTCTCTACTTCTTTCTCTAGATCTGTCCTCTCTACTTCTTTCTCTAGATCTGTCCTCTCTACTTCTTTCCCTGTATCTGTCCTCTCTACTTCTTTCTCTAGATCTGTCCTCTCTACTTCTTTCCCTGTATCTATCTTTTCTATCCCTTCTTTCCCTAGATCTGTCCTCCCTGTGTCTGTCTTCTCTATCTCTTCTCTCTCGAGACCTATCTTCTCTGGCTCCTCTTTCCTTGGCCCTTTCAAGATCATCTCTCTCTCTTTCCTTTTCCCTTTCAAGATCATCTTTCTCTTTGCCCCAATCTTTTTTCTCCTCAGACTTCTCTTCAACATCATTCCTTGTCTCACTAGTGCTCGGTTTGCTTTTCTCATCAACTTTTCTAGCCTTTAAAGCCTGTTCCAATTCAGAATGCATGCCTCCTGTGCCACCTTTTGCTTTTTTCTTGTCAGTGGTTCCTTGGTGCCCCAGTGTTTCATTCATACTATCAATATTTTCAACGTGCTCTTCATCTTTGGTGCTTTCCTTTGTATTGCTATTTCTCTTTGCTCTCCCTTTCCTTTTTTCTTTGCCATTGTCAGTCATTGCTGTTCCAATCGCTGCAGAAACTATATCTTTTATTGGGTCTCCTTCTATTGGATTTTTTTGTATTTCTTCATTTTTTATAGATTCTTCTTCTCCTCTATCCATACAATACTCTTGGTCTTCTGGAGCGGCTTCTGTCCCATCCCCTTCCATAGGAACCTTCTTATATCTAGCACAGATAAGGATCTTTCTTTTGTCATACACGTATATATAATAATGCTTCCAGAAGCAATACATCCCTACACCTGCTACTACTACAATACCAATGAAGAAAAGCAATCCTCCAACAACTCCTCCAACTATTACATACACATCAGGATCAATCGGTCCATTTGAACGATCATTTCCACCATCACCTGTACCATCCTCTTCCTCTGGATTAAAATACGGACTATCTACATTTATAATTAAAATAACTATTTTGTAATGTCTTGCTGTACCTGGAGGCAATACTAAAACCTCTGTACTTTCGTATATTCTATACGATGCTCTTGCTGAGCAAGTATATATACCAGTGTCTTCATAGTCTATAGGTGAAAAAATCAGACGGGTGATCTTGAATGTATCAGTTGAACTTGGATCCAACTCAATGCTTATACTCTATGAGTTTATCAAAACATAAACTATAATTGATGGAGGAAAGTGACTGACTGGTACATCCCTGATGTTCTCTCCTTGTCTTGTCCAATTTATCATTCCTGGCCCTTGCAACTCGACTGTACATTCTAAGACTACATCAGTACCATTTGCTGCTATTTTTTGTAATGGTACAACCGATATTGATTTTAGTGCTGCAATAAAATATAAATTAAAAATAGGACTGGATAATGAAACGTACTAGTATTGTATGAATTTGCAGCATTAAAAGTCTCCGTAAAAGTTTCTCCAGTGGAGAGTCTCACTGTTAGATTGTATAGTCCAAATGTATTGAGGTTTATTGGGAATGTCAAATTGAAGTAATGAAATTCAAAAAAGCTATAATCATGCACGAGTGAGACTTCATCTGGTATGTTTCCATTCAATCTCGTGAATGTTATGGATGACATACTGACTGGCGTATTTGAGCCAACGACCATATAAGCTCTTGCAATAAAATCCTCGTCAATGTGAAAATTATCAAGCAAAGTAAGTGAAGGAACTGTAATAAAGATACAATAATTAGAATTAATAAAAATGAAAACAGAGATCATCATACAAGTACGTACCATCTATTTTTGTCATTGTTAGAAATTTCGTTTTGTAGAATCTTGTATGTTTACCATCCACATTACGATAATAACGACATTTTAATTCATATAACTTTCTGCGGAAAGATGGCCAAATCCATGTATAAGAGTTAATAATTTTCATGTTTGGATAATCTCTGTTGATATTATCATTAAGGTTCACAAATCTTGGTTGTCCATCTTCTGTCAAAGGACAATCAAAAGTGTCACTGTATATTACACCAATATAAAATTTAATTTCATATAGCCGCGTGCTGCTGGGGATAAGAATGTGAGTATGATCTGTACTCAGCATTAATCTCAACTGCTTTTCATCAATATAACCTCTTGTGTAAATTGAAACGTCAAAATTGTCAGCTATAAGAAAAAATTTTAAATGTATCTATGTAAAATAATGTGTAGAATAGATAAAAGGATTACCTATGCTATATATCGATGGAGGAAAGACATATGTTGAAGATGCACTGTCGCATTGAGATTCATAAATAGACCGTCTTGGAAAGATCTTTTGAAATCCAAGAGATGTCTTGCATGCTAGTAGTTTGCCAAGAGTTGATGGTGTCACCTTGTAAAATGTTATCGTGTATTGTGCAGTGGTCAAGCCACCTGTCATTGCTTGGTACTCCATTTGCATTTGACATGCAGTAGCACTGTTACAATTATAACGACTTAGCAGTCTGTTGAATGCGAATCAATTATAATAGATAGATAATCTCAATTCTGAACTGAGGGCTTACCTATTGTACCCAGAAAAATAAACGAAGCTAACTTCTTCTATCGTTGAATTGTAAGTCATGTTCCCTTTCATTGTGATTCTTTCGCTAGAACAGACAGATGACAGCAGAATAGGTAACCATATCCATGATAGCGTTTCCATTATCGAAAATCTAATTAATTAATTAATTAATTAATTAATATTGAACAGAATTAATTAATATTGAACAGTTGGCGGGAAAAATGATTAAAAAAAAATCATGAAAATTGTGAAAATGAAACTGATTCCTGTTATGTTAAAGCTCCTTTTTTCCAGCCTCCTTACCACTCTCTTCTTTTTAGAGTGTAAATGTGACATAATCCCTCTTCATTTACAACATGTGGTTATCAATGGCACTCTTACTATCAGCAATACTGATGAATTGATCTTCTTCATCAAACCTCTAAGCAACAGGAAGTGAGTTGAACCTCTCATTAGAGCTATTGACCTTTTGTTTGGACATAGATTATTCGACCAGTCGAAATGCCGTGGCTATGACTGCGAGTTTACCACGACTTCGTTACAAAGGGGCAACACTGAAGTCCTTCATTTCAAAATAGCAGTAAACCATGTTTCACCTGAAATCTGCTGCTCCATAAGAGCTTGTATGACAAAGCGGAATTATGCCATTCAAATGCCGAGAAAAATTATAAATTCTGTTAGTTGCCCTAGTAGTTACCAATGGAGCTATTATCCACAATTCCTTGGTATGTGTGTGTGTTATTATTATATTATTATTATTATTAATATTATTATTATTATTATAAATATGTATGTGACATTATATGTACATGCACACATATGTAGAATATAGTCTTGATATTAGTTTGTACACGTGGTTCATGGAAGAGTCTCATTACAGTGATATGAAGATAAATGGTACAGCATTTCTACTGGTACCCCAATCCCAAGAACCCATTCCAATATTTGCCAATGTCTTTCACATTGGTACCCTACAGTGTCGCTATCATGTGAACGGACCACAAGTTCAAATGGAGACTCTTGAAACTATGAACAAGAATGGGATTAAGTCTATTCTGTATAAGTCTGATTTGAGCGTGAATAATGAGGCTACTTTTAATCTTTATTTCACTTGCTTCACTGAATTCAATCATCATGTTGATAACATGCTCGAATCAGAGACAGTGACAAAAAGATTGACAGTTCTTGTCAAAAGAGGTAGTATAATAGTTATTATTATCTAAAATGTGTCCTCCTGCATTAGATCCTAGCATCATCATAGCAGAGAATACAACTTTTTCTACAGAAGATGTCACCCATCAAATTAAACTTGATGTTCTCAGTAGCAAAGTCATCTCAACTGTTTCAGTTAGGACTGCTTATACAGGTCAAGGCACACCAACTGTCATCACTGCATTGCCTCAGCTGTCAATAGTTCATCATTATTACATTGCTTTCAATGGGATAAAGCCATCAATGACTGGCCAGTATAATGTTACTATTGAAATGACTGATGGAACAACTGTATGGTCCATATTTAATATTTTTGTGTCACAAAGTGAGTATGCACTAAGATGTACATGTATATATTGTGTTAAGATTGTGTCAAGTATTCATTTGATTCTATGTTGGCATTGAATCAATAAGTTGTTAATGATATGTTACTTAGTACATTTAGCATGCACATTATATTAATCTATTCATAAACTATTTTTTTATTATTTGTAGTGCCTAGAGTTGAGATTACTCCAAAGATAATCAACGTTGGTCTATATCAGTCAGCAAGGTTTGATTGTGTTGCATATGGCATTGATATACGTGGCATTGAATGGACCAGAGAAGGATTTACACTGGAAAACATAGTACGATTACATTAATGTGTATATTACCTGTATAATTATAATATATTGTTTATTTTTCTTGTAATTATTGTACAGAAAAAGGAGAGATATTTATCAGCTATTGACAACATTGCTGGCTTGCAAGTGAACTTCACTTCACCTGATTATACTGATGGAGGTGAATATGCCTGTCGTGTTTGGACTAGCCATCCACATCACGTGATTGTAGCCTATGCTGAACTATACGTATTTTATCCAGGTATGTCAAATGATGTTTTTACTATGAGAGGGAGAGAGAGAAATGAGTGTGTTTTACTTAACGCAATGACTCTGGTGAATTCATAGGTAGCCCAAATATTGATCCTTCCTATGAAGTTATAAATGACACATCTCGTCCTAATGGAACTTTCTATGTCCCTGACGACTGGGATACTGATGAAGATGGAGGGGGGGACATTAAAATTGCTGGTGTCAGTCCGATAGTATTGGGTATCATTACTGCATTGGTACTCTTTGGTTTTATAATGTTGATTGTAACGCTTAGCCTAATACGCTGGGGTATTGACACATGGAGATACAAGTAAGTACCATTTGTACGATTTGATTCTTTTGAGTTCTCAAAACTCGTTCCTAATTTCATTAGGATAAGGAGAAAGAAAAACTCTTTAGAAAACAAGAGACTGAAGGATGTCATTGACAAAATAAAAAATAAAACCGGCGACATCAGCTCCAGCTCTAGTTCCAGCAGTGACAGTGATAGTGACAAAGGAGTTGCTAGTAAACTCAGTAGTAGCAGCAGTGACGATAGCATGGTGGCGCTGCTGCACAGTGAAGACAGTAACAGTGAAATTAGTGATAGAGTGATCCACAGTGATACTGACAGTAAAAAAAGAGGTGATAGTGGCAGCAATAAGAGTGATACTGACAGTAAAAAGAGTGGTGATACTGACAGTAATAAAAGTGGTGATAGTGGCAGTAATAAGAGTGGTGCCTATGCTAAACTTAAAGGGTCTGATAGTGAGAGTAAGAGTAGTAAGAGTAGTGTGAATAGTGTAAGTGGTGACAGTGACATTAGTGAGATAGTGGTGCGTAGTGGTGGTGAGAGTGATAGTGATCCAAGTGTTGTTAGTGTGAGTAGTGAGAGTAGTGACTATAGTCATTAACTTGATATAATTATTAAAAAATGAATTTTATTATTTATGTAGCATGTAATACAAATTATAGTCTCACCCAAATTAATGTTTATACAACACAAACTTTCAAATGCCAAAATAATGAGCCAATGTATGTCCAACCAAATAAAAATGTTCATTGTTCAGTCATCGTACTGGATGTGTCTTTTTGAAAATGTTCTGCAAAGATACCGAAGATTGACTGGTTACGTATGATGATTCTGATATCCTTCAAAGCTTTCGAGTCTCCGAAATCAAACCCAGTAATAGCTTTGATTATTGTGGAGGAGATTAGACTATTCTTTGAAACAAAAGCTCCACTGCTAACAGCTGGGATAGCAATGGAAGAAGCTCGTAGTTTGATCCCTTCTCTTAGTGCCTGAGTAATACCAGTATGCAATAGGTCAGCTATGGTTTTATCATCAGTATAACCATGAGAAGACTTTGGATTGGCAAAGTGGAAGACATACTTACATTTCAGCGTTCCCCCACCACTGTTAGTAACAGCCACATCACCGACATTAATCTTACCATAATCGGCAACGTATTTGTCAGAAATCTTCTGTAACTCTCCATTTGTTGCTTTATTCAAAGCCCATGACACTCCGCTGCTTCCCTGTAGAGTTCTATTAGACGTTGTCACAATGATGTTGACATCTTCTTTCGTGATGTCTCCTCGTTTGAGCATGACCTTACGACCGGATGCCAATACAATTTTACACAATTGTAGGTCCTTTAATTTCCCTTCCACTAGTCGGACCACTTCATCAAACTGAGACTGAATGACCGATATTATCTTCATTGCATTCTGTCCTTCATTGACGGTAGTAAATAAATAAGTGGAGTCATACTTTTGATTTAGCTCCGTCACTAGAAACAAGAGCTCATCCTGGTCAGTATATGATGGCAGTGGGATGTATTTGGAGCGAGACGACAATATAACATGTTGGTATTCCAGCTGGAACCTGTACCCACGTGCCGTGACTTCTGCCTCATTGCTACCATATATCTCCACCCTGCCTGTGGATGCATGATAGTGTACGCCAGGTATAGCACCACCTCTTAACTTAGGCATTATCTCTAGGGCACTTCTCTTCAAGTGTGCATATGTCATTGAGTGGGCTTCACTCTTTGCACTACTGTTGCCAACTGTGACTTTCAAATTCTTTATTTCCTCTTCTTGCTCTGATATTTTTGCTTTCAGGCAGGCTATCTCTTTCTGGTGTTCCTCAGTAAGTCTTGTACACATTTTTTCGACTCTTTCCTGAAGTACTTTCATCTGAACTTCAACCGGGAGCTTAGAGCAGGTCTCCCTCTCATGATCATTCAAACTACTCCTCATCATCTTCTGACCGCACCCATGACAGCACTCAACCTCAACGTAAAGACACCCTCCCTGTTTTGACGGACTGATGTGCTTATCAAGGTCTCTCAACTCTCCAGTCCAGCCACACCCACTAGCAGTATAAGGACAGTAAACTGTTAAATCAAAAATGAGTCTCTCCATTTCTTTATCGAGCAACGTGAAGTAATCACTATGACGGCACTTGGGACAAGGATTAGCTTTACTCTTAACCTATGCAA